TCAATGACTTCGATGGATCTCCATTGGTCTCTATCCATAATTGCTACTTTTAATTTTTTGTAATTAATTTTTCCAATATCTTCTATAATTTGTTTCATATATGGTGTTCTTGGTCTACCTATTCCGGCTTTTCCGTCTATCTTTCTATTATTGTTGTTATCCATTTATTGTTTCTTATAACATGTCCAATCCATTTTTTCCTCCTTTCCCTGATTGTTTTCGATATTACTTTTCGTTCGTTCATTTTTTGGAATACTACTTTATTTTTAACTCTATATGCCCAGGGAATTTTCAGTGTTCTTCTCCAGCACTATGTTTCCAACGTTTTAATCTTTCTTCTCTGAGTATCGTCTATGTTTCTGCTCCATATAGTGCTATACTCCATACAAAACTTTTAATCAGAGTTTTTCTTGTCTTAAGGCTGACAGTGTTTGCTGTGAAAAGGTGCTTATTTTTGTAGAACGCTTCTTTTGCTTGTTGTACTTTTTGGAACATTATAATAGAAAATTTCGATTAGTGTGAATCCAAGAACTTATCCTAGTTGGACTCAAATTTCTATTGAGTATATTTGACATGTATCAATGTCTATTCGTATTTGAGAGGATTCGTTTTTGATAAATGAGCATACAATGTTATAGAGTTACGTTGATAGATTCATTTTTTTTAGTCTATGCAAGAGGCTGTATTATCATACCTACTTAAAGGCTTGTACATAGCCATGGAAAACCGTGATTGTGCATTCCATACATATTTTAAAAGTACTTTAATACTATTTCAAATATCCTTTGGAATTTTAAACAATTGTAAGGGATTCAAACCAAATTGATGAAGTGGAATATTTTTTTTGGAATAATTTTTGAATATATGAATTCAGTAATGGTAATTATAATAAAATAAAAATATATATTTCGACAAAAGAGTATTTTATTTTGATAGTCTTCCACGTATATAGTAATAAGATTATTTTGGATTAATTAAGTTAAAATATTTTAATCAGCTAAAAGATTCACGTATTATTTCTATAGCAACATCAAAATAAATAAACATTTAAATCAAAATGTGAATTACGTAAATACAAGTTAGTTTTATTTTGAACCGTAATATTATAATGGGAAAACTTGACATCTGCATCAAGCAATATTTGTCGGTTGTCTACATTTATAATACCACCTATGTTTGTTCAAATACTTAAATACTAAAATATATAATATAAATTATAATACCTAAAATACAAATACCCTTAAAATATTAATCTGATTAAATTTTAAAATATAATAAAACATTCATAATATTTTATAAGTTCAGTCGGAATTGTTTAACATATTAAAGTGGCCCATATTATCCAGTAATTTACTGTATATTATCTTGTAGAAACTTTTTTTCTTTGAAAAATAATACTTACAATCTGTGTCAGAATAGCATAATAAGCAAATATTATAAATTATGTACATTTTTATTGTGAATAATATGAGAAAGGTGATTAACCTGTGTTGGGATCCAACGATATATATTTAGATTATTAAATCTGTGGAATATTAATTCTTGAGTCGATGGGTGAAATTAATGATTTGAGTATTGAATGAGATTTGTTACACTAATGGGTTGGTATAAGATTGTGGTTTGGAATAATAATATTTGTAATGTTTGGTGGCAAATTGGTCAACAGATTTGATTTTTAGTTTAGTATGGGGTGGGAAAAAAACCAAGGTTTGAATGTAATTAAAGGATAGTAATTGGCTGGAAAGCCTGTATAGTGCGAGTTTGTGACAGCTTAGCACAGTCCCAAATTTGAATCACATATGCCCTTAGTCGCAAAAGAGATTTATACATAGTTCAAGTAAATTTGGTGTGAATAAAGAATTTTGATTTTAAAATTAGATGCAGTAAATGTAGTCGGTTGTTAAGGGTTTTACTTTTAATTCAAATATATTATTTAATTCATTATATATTTTTAGTAAAAGTATTAATACCATTGAAATAATTAAACAAATATATTTAACTGTAGTATGACTTTAAAATAACTCCATATAAAAAAAAAGAAAAAAGTAATTAGATTTAAATATTTTGTATTAAAAAAAATGTAAAATTATATTATATATTATTGCTATATTTTAATCTATTAAAAGTTAAAAATTCAACTTTAATTAAACATATAAAATAAGATAAACTTTAAATAATAAAAATTCTTCATTCGGTATAAATGTATTGTTAAATAATTTTGGAAATTATTAAAGTAAATATTCATCCAAAACGTAAAGAAGATATTTGACTTATTTTTGAATTTTATTATTTATTACTTTCTATACCAGTATATTGTTCAATTTCCTCATAATATAAAATATATAGAAAATTATTAAATTAATAGCCTATGATGCGTAAGTATTATAGTGTATTTAATATTTTCATTATAATATTTATAAAATATGAATGTAGGGCAGTGTTCAATGCATTTTTTAAACAACTATAGAAATGCGATGGGTGTCAACAAATGATTAAATAAAATATTAAGTATTAGTTAAGACATCGGACCATGTCATCGGTTCAAGAATTTATAACTATTAAATCTTATATTACCTACAGTCTTCAATTCAGACACCTCAAATGACTTAGCGACGTATTATTTTAATACGTATTGCGTCACTAAGGGTTTAATACTTTTACGATATTTTAAATAATATCATCAAGATAAATCATATTTCAAATAGTAGTCATATCTTTGATATCAATAAATACAAACGAGTATTTAAATATATATATATATATATACACCATATTATTCCAGAGTAAAATATCTTATATATGGTACTTTTAAATAATACTAACTGAATGTATTTTAATAGATTTCTTATATTTATTTGTACGTCGTGGAAATACGATAAATATGTTACATTTATGGCTTACCACAAATTTAATTATCTATATACACTATTACTCAACGTTTATGTGATATGGAAAGATCAATCAAATTATAAAAATGTTAACTGTGAAATTATTTGTCTTAACAATGGTCGTAATAATCTTATAAAATACAAAACACGCGTTAATGTAATCACTAGGACGTTGTTATTATTTAATAATTAGTTAAAACGTAATATACATCAATAAACATTTATAATTATACCCACAGGTGCATAATATTTTATCAATTTAGGTTAATGTTGCATTTGATGAATATCCGAATTGAATATAACTATGAACCATAGGAGTGCGCACGGGGCTGCCGGGTATGCCCAGGCATCCCCTGAAATATTTTAAACGGCGTCATATTATATAATCCTGTATTTTAACTGATGTTACACAAATTAAATGTAATTTATTCTAAAATATTTGGTAAAAATAAATGATGTTTCGTGGTAGAAAAAATTAAACAAAATGTTCTTGCAAAAATTTCTTATAACAGCTATAATTGATTACGAAAATATAAATCTTAAATAATTGAAGCTATATGAGAAAAAAAAATACGAGATTCAAGGAGAACATATACATTGGGGCTAATATAACGTAATATAAAATTAATAAATAAAGTTATATTTATTTAATTATTAATACATTATAATTTATTAAACATACCTACACGCTTTGTTAAGCTAAAAGCCAAAGTTATCGTAGTTACCCCCTAAAATACAAATCTGCGTACACCTATGCTATGAACTATATAACTGCAATTTATGTCATTAAGATTAAACAAATTAATTGATTATAAACAGTTCACCCGTTAAATGTTAGTATTAAAATTGAATGTTTTAACTGATGACCACACTAACTTACATATTTATATTAACCTCATATTAATAATTTAATTTAACGAAATGATATTTTAAAACCTATACAAAAAAGTATTACTGTATTTTCATTAATAAAAATGAATGATTTATAAAATAAAAAAAAAAAATTAACACAAATTCTCTGCAGATTAGTATTTACAAATTTTTCACTCGGTATGAAATGTAATTTTCACAGAAATTAATTTCTTATTTGAGGATTAATTATATTTTTATTATTTATACCCACGTTTCAGTTAACATCGTGTCTAAAGTTTATTCAAGTTGTTTTTTACTATGATCATCGAATAAACAAAAAAAAAAAAAAAACAAGACGGCATTAGTAAATTTATATACGCTTAGACATATAATGTCGTAAAAACGATTTAAAATCATCAATTACTGAAGTTTTATACTCCATTTTTCATCAAAATGACGAATATCAATTTTTACAATATAGTATTGGTTTCGGATTCAAAGTCTACTATGCATTTATGATAATATTTTTTATCGTTTAATTCGATTTAGAATGCATAATAAAATATTATTTGTTTGTAGACTTGTCGGAAAAATAACTATTTGAATGATAAAAATCATATAGTTTAATAGATCTTATGCGCGATTTTACAGTTCATCAAAATATCACGATACCGTTAGAAAGAGAAAAATCTCGGAATTAGCAAGGGAAACAAAGATTTTCTCAAATGAATTTATACAAAAAAAAAAATTGTTCGTTTATTCTCAACGAGTGATTGCCGTTTTGAAAGTTAAAAAATGATAAAGCGAAGAATATTACCCATTGAGATCACGAGTATATACATGTGATATATAAATGTGGTCCGTTGCGTTTACAAAATATTATTAGAATTGAGAGATGAAAAGTTATTATTTCATGAAAATCGGTTTACTCGTGAACCGGACTATTTTCCATTGATATTATATTACCCTATTTAGCATGATATCCTTTATTTTTGACGACGTTCCGCGCGGTCGTTGTCATCGCCGTTTCTCGCGCACACAATAAATATTATTTTCACCGCTTTCGCGAGAGAGTCTTTATTGCGATAACGCGTGTCCGCCGTACGACGTCATCGCGCGTATGACATATCATGGACGGTTTGAAAAATTAAAAAATAATAATAATAACCGTTAAACATGTCGTGGTAGAGGGGATAGGTGAAGAAGAAAAGATCAAGAAAACTGGACCACGTCATATTATTATTTTAATGGTGTCTGCGATAACCGTCCCAGGACCGCGTACGTTGCCGCCGTGACATTTTCGACGTCCGTTCCGTCGCGAGTAGATCTCTGTCCCGCTCATTGTACGTTCGTCCGCGAGACGGTCGCGCGATATCCTTCGAAACGCGTCATGCTATTCCGTTGGCCCTCGGTTTTTCATTGCCATTGGTTTTTGTTCGCCCCGTGGTACGAGGAGTGAGTTACAACAAACACATTCGTACACCGTGTATCGACGCGCGTCGACAGTGCCGACGACGGACGACCCGCGTGCGATTCAGGCGAGACAATAAGAAGATCCTCCGCGGACCGCTGATAAATTCGGCGGAGCTTCGTCACCACGCCCTTGGCTGTCACCGTCACCCGTGCGACACGGCGCACGCACGCGCACAACATACACTTATACTCGGCGCGCAACCCGTTTGCAACGTAACGGATATGTCCACATGACATTATTACGCGTGCACGGCGAACAACGGGTCCGTTCGATTCGTCACCCGATAAACGCGCGTACGCGACGTATCGCACCGCGTGTATATTTACGACACCACACGTTACCGACGGACCGCATTCGTGCTACACGCGTACGGACCGCGGGAACGTGCAACGCGCGCACGTGATACATTCGTGGGGTCGTCGTACCGTACCGGGCCAGTTTCCGTCCGGTCACCGGGAGAACTTAAAAACAAAAAAAAAACAGATCCGCGCCGCCGTCGTCGTCTTCTTCGAGAAACGGTGCGATCAGACCCGTAAGCATTGGCGTCGTCCCGAACATGTGACGCCGTAACGGACGGTGTATCGCGACCCACACTACAGCCGCCGCCGCCGCCACAGCGGTCGGCAGCCATGGTCGGCTGGTTCTTCAACAAACCCGTTGGCCGGCAGTACGTGGCCGCTTTCGTCGGTAAGTGTCACCGCCGTAGGATAATATTCTACGCGCGCACAAGTGCCAATGGGTGGTTTCCGTTCGTCAGAAAAACGTCCGTGCCGCGGGCCAACGACGTCAGGGCTCACGGGCCCGAGGGGAAGTATTTATACGATATGCAATCTCAAGCGATTGCGAAACGGTACCGTTTTCGTGGGGACTGTGAGGATCTCGTAACGGATATTTACCGCGATTTTACTGCACTAACCCTTTCGTCTTGGTTGCGGCCTCCCTCTCGTTACGCCTCTTCTCGACCACTACCTCACCCCATCGCCCTTTCACTGTTTACCGATTCGCATTTTTATCGGACGGTTTGACGTTAGTCCCACGTAAAAGTTTAATACCGACGCGCGTACATAAACGTATGTTTCATCTTCGCACAACACGCGTATTTTAATACGATTTCGTGACGCATTGTGATAAATTAAATAATTTTAAGATGAGTTTCGCCGTCGAGAATGAGAGATTACAGAGTAGAGAGATTTTACATCTTGGGTAATGATGACACGCGTTTGTAAAGTGTTTTTTTTAACGAAAAGGATGGTGGCGAGAGGTGAGTGACTGTGACCAGTTATCGCTCGGACGTGATACACAACGATTAAATTCGTTCCCCTTACATTTTACGAATTAAATCGTAAATTATAGTTATTATATATATATATATATATATGTACATACATAAGCGAATATGATTTTGACATAATTCGATTAAACGATCATTTATACTAATTAAAGATGTTTTACGTTTAATTAATTTACCTATTTAAATAAACTTTGTGCAAATCTAATCCGTAAAGTCATTACTTTAATTACGCGCGGAGCATGATCGTGTGCTTCGCGTACAGTCGATCGATACGGAGCAGAGATATTAGGGAGTGTAAATGTTACGATTTCTCTTCTAGTATTTTTGTCACGTAAAAAAATCTAACAGTTACATTTTCAACCACAAAATATGATGACAGAATGTGATATTTTTAAACAATACTGCTTATAATTATTCAACATTTTTTAATTTAACGTGGTTGAATTATTTAATCGTACAATTTATCTGTTAAATGTGTGGTTAATTTATTTTTAATTGGACAACATTTGTTTGGAAATAAATCAAATGCAATTATTTTCTATAAAATCAATGAACATTTTAACCATATACTTTAAAGTTAATAATATATATATATATATATATATATATATATTACATAATAATAATATAATAATAATAATATACAACAAAATTATTAGTAAAAGAAATGTTTGTCTTATAACGTTATTTCAATATTACAGATTATAATATTTATTGATTGTGTTGTCTTCAAATAGTCTCTGATATGCATATTTAAGAGTAAACTCTAAGTATAACTGATTCACAATTATCACTTTGTATGTATATATTAATTATTAACTATATTATATTTTTCATACATAATTGACGATTGTTGACAATAATAGTTCGCAATAATTTATCTTTAATTTATCATAATTGGAACGAACAGTTTTCGAGTTCATGGTTTCTTTTCTAGAATAGTCATTATTGTAATACATATGCATATCTTATAATTTATAATACACATTACATTGATGCACAACAAAAGTTACGCTAATAACGGTCATTACGTTTTAATTTTTAGAATTCAGTTTTTTTAGAAAATTTTTATTTTCCTACATTTATTTACATAATGGAATTAGTGTCATAAAATTAATATAAATTAAACTCTAACATATTAACATTAATTTAACTTCAATTTTTTCATTTAACCCAGCAAAATGGTACTTAAATACAATATCTTACTAACAATTTCTTCCATGCCTATGGTTTTTATAATTAAAATTAAATAATAATAATAATTATAATTAATTAATTGAAAAATTTGAAATATATTGAATCGAAATGTAATGTATTATTTTTCATGTAAAAACTTAATAAACGTAATATTTTTAATAATATATTAAAAGTCGATATGAAAGATATTTACATTTTTAAAGTTTTTTTATGACTAAAATTAAAAGAGATTTATTATTTAGTAGTATCAATACGAATAATGAGTAGAATATATCATAATTGAAAATATTACTCATTATAGATTATCTTAAATACGCATATGATAAACATTTTATAAATGTTTGGTATACTCGGCATACTGTTACTACATTCATATAATAATTTGTAGTGATTATTTAATATTATAAAATTAAAACATAGATAGAATTAGTATACAATCATGGACCAATAGATATACTAAATTGATCAAGTTATTAAATTTAAATTTAAGGGATTATTAAAAATTAAATTTAAGCAATAAAAAGAATTTCCTATCTAACCTTGAACAATAACAGTAGAATACGAACCAATCATTGATTTAAATCGTAATTCAAACATTTTAATTACCCTTAAATTATTTTTTTATTGAACCAAGACAGAAATTATAATTCACAGTATTAGTAGAGAAGTGTTCGTTGACACAAATATATTTTTATATAAATTTGAGTGAAATTGTTAGAATAATTACGAACTACAAAAAACATGAAAATTAAAACATTTAAATTTAATTAGATTTGTATAATAACTTTTACACGAGAAAAAATTTATTTTCACGAAGTGAACACGTATTTGATTAAAAAAAAACTCGTATGCAATACATAAATCAATTTGGATGAATTCTATTTTTCTACGAAACAGAAGAGTAATCCCATTTGTAAACTATGTTCAGTATATAGGTATTATATTATTGTTTACCATGTGGGTGGAAATTACCACTACGTGAGTCAACAAAACTTGCTATGTTTTTTCTAAATCGGATTTTATTCAACACACCAACAACAGAAATGAAAAAAATACCTAATTTTCTTTTTGTTCACAATTTATTTTTACATACTCATACCATAAATATTATTCGGAGTAAATTTGCTGTCTTTTTCAACACTTTGTTTTGAATAACATTTTTTAGTGTACAATAAAATGTTTTTATTTTAATTAAATCCATAGGCGCAATTTGGGGGGCTTGGGTGTGCTTAGCACCCCCATTTTCGAAATTAGCACCCCCAAATGTGTTTATGTTAATTTACATTTAAATACTCATTACTCATTATGTATAGAAAAACATAATAGTTTTTGAATTTTTTTGCATAAATATATAAATTTTTATACAATAAGAAAATATTTCGCAATGCAAAAAAAAAATATCTTTGCTATAGGGTAAAAGTTTCAAGATTCTAGCGACATTACATTTGAAATTATGACTAAATAACTAAAATTTGAAATGTGAAATTCTTATTTACAGTATATTTTTACGATTTCAGGACAGTTTTTTTTCATGTCTAGAAAAACTATTAAGATTTAAAAAAAATGACCTATCTAAAGTACCACCGCATGCCAATTTAAAATTTAAAAAAGGTCCTAAAAAAAACTTTTGGACCAGTATTTCTATCCGAAAAAGTGTTTAACCATTAAAATACAAACATCATTATAAAACCATAATATCCTTCGCTTCAGTCAGAATCTAAAAGTGATCATGTGATAAGACATTTGTATTAACAGACAGATAATTCGTTATACGCACAATAAAAATATAAAATCAAAGTGAACAATTTAAATTTAAAAGTATTCATATATTTACCAAAAATTTTAGTAACTGTTGAATTATACGGTTAGCGGGTGTCTATAACCATTAAGGAACATGAAAAAGATAGAAGCACCCCCAGTTTTTTTAATAGAAATTACGCCCCTGATTAAATCAAACATACATGGTTTTACTCGTTATTAAATTAGTTAATGAGTTTGGTGATAACGGACGAGATGAATGTACTCCAAGTTTTGTTAGATTACATACGAGAAAGAGATGAGCCTATAGAGGGCTCATTGTCTTTGAAGATCCAAATGTTACTAGAGGAAATTATAGCTTCAAATATTGTTCACACTCGAGAATACTATTAATAAAGAGGGAACTATCAGATATTATGAATATCGCTTCTTTTAATCCCAAAACTAATCAATTGTTTATTAATACAAATATATATATATATATGCGCTTTAATTTAATTTTGGTGATAAATAATAACGGAGATAAAAAAAATATCCATTTAAAGAATATAATTACATTTACGAGTAGGCATTAAGAAACTTCGATGAGTCACAATAAATAATAGTAAATACTATAAACAAAATCGACTTTCAGATTTTAAGCTTACAAACAATATAATTCGACGGAAAGATTTCATTCAATCAAAGTTTACGTAAAGAAATATTAACGCATTTAAATGTGACAAGTTTTATTTTAATCCAAATAACAATATTGACTTAACACTTGTCACTTGCTGCACTTAATATAAAATTTGCAGTTTGAATAATGAAGGAGGTACATATATTTACACGTAATTCGTAATATAACCACATAAAACAGTTGCACATGTAAACTAGTTGCTATTTATGCCGCGCGGTGTGCTTGAAGAATATACTATTTTTTATCATCAAAGATAAGACTATTTGGCGTACACGTCAGTTAACCCAGTAGCAGCAACCTTATGAAATAAACGTTTGTGCATAGGGTGGGTATAGGTATTTATAGCGTCATATATATCATAAGCCTATATATATATGCCTCGACGGATTCACCAAATACTTGACCCAGAAGTGCATTTCAGAAGCTATATAATGCGTATCATAAATCACATTTTTCTTCGCTCCTAAATCCCTCTTGACCAGCGTTGTGAAAAACATCGACGGGACCGTTCGCTTATATGTATATTGTATAGGAAAATTCCATTAACCCGTTACAAGTTAATGGCTGGTGCGGTTACAAAAGCATCTCTTCGTTTCTAAACTGTTCAGAACACATGGTGCCTGTTTAATGGAAAAACGTTTATTTAAACACATTATATGCTGTCAAATAATCATTTGCACTCTTCTTGGATGTCACTGTTCAAAACTCTTATAATACAACGTTTTTATCCATGTCGGCTTCACGCGATACACTCGTAGACGCACCAAAACCACAATGATCCGGGTTAGCTGTCGTCCCGCCGGAAAATATATGCGGTTTTCACCCCTCACTTATTTTTTTAATAGCTATATTTATACCGATTTTTAATTGTGCATACAAATTTGATGAGAACGGCCAGTCGGCAAAAATGAAAAGTGGTGGGTTATGAACTTTTCCATTTGAAAACCTCTATGCGCTGTTATGATCATATATATATGTAAATGTATAAATTTATTGGGACACGACTCGGCTGGGGGAGTGGTTTTTCGTACCCAAAGCACAGTGGTTTTTGTAACGCCGGATGTGAAAAATGGACAAAATAATCAAAAACTTCCCAAAAACTTCATATCGCTTGGTTTTAATCTTGCCCAGGTAAATCCAACAAATCCCCCATCGACTCGTAAATCGTTTACGCGTATGACTTCGATAAGGCGTAAAACCTAGCATAAAAATAAGCTTTTTTTTTCGATCCAAATGGTAGTATTGATCCTTTAATATACCAACACATGAGACTATTATTAATTTATGTATAATCGTTGAATTCATTATTATCTCAACCATATAACTAACGTACAAATAAACAAATATAATATTCTATAATATTTTAATAATTTGTTTTTTTTTTTCTATACCAAATTTTCAATGGGAAAAAATACAACGATAACAATATTTGTTAGCGCTTTTATTAATTACGTATTTATTTATGTAATGTAACATTCAATTAAAATAAATTAAAAAATGGAAATTGATATTCGTAATAGTAATAATAAATAATATTATATATACATCTCCTCAACCCTATATTGCTATGATATATTTTTATCAACTTTTGTTATTTATTACTTTTTGTACGCCTTTTATTACTAAAAATATTACACTATTGTTTTATTTGCATAATTAATTTTACCATTTTGATTATTACGAAAATATACATCTTTTCTGAGATTCATGTATACATTTTATAATAATTAAAAACTGTATAATTCGAATAATATAATAATTATTATAAATATTAATTGCATGATGAATCTAAGAAATAAATTCATTTTATGAATTCCAAGAACCATGCCTTTTTCAATAGAAAAAAGATTAAAATATAAATCGAAACATTTAGTAATGATAACAGTCATAAAAATGAATAGGCATAGTACATATGTTGTTATGGTAATTTTAGCATTTAAAATGTAACAACGAACATATTGGAACTTATACTAATATAATATAAGACATTTGATTATCCACAGTTTTGCTTATAAAATTGGTGCAGTAGAATAAAGCTTATACATAATTTTCACTTTCTTCATATTATTCTGATTATATATATATAATGTATTACATTTTAAAATTCATTATTTTTCAAAGTAACGATAAGTGATATGCTTTTGCCTCAACATTATTCTATGTTGGGTTCAATCATACTATACTAAAACGAATTGTTCTACAAACTTTTACTTAACTTTTGTTTGCCATTTCGTCCTTGTAATTATAAGTGCATTACATTTCTGGAATATGCAATTTTGTACACCCAAAATGTGTACATAAAAGTAAAAAATGTTAATGATTTGCATTCATCTCGCATAACTATGTCTTTGAAGTATCTAATTAACCAAATAACTTTTTCATTATTTAAGATCGTAACTAAATACAAACGGTATATACCAAGTATCATAATGACAATAATGAAATGAGAAATTAATGTTTTGAGTTCACATAAAATTTACATTAATAAACAGTATGCGCGATTCAATAAAAGAAGAGAGAATTTTTGTCATTCGCAAAGCTTGACTCTAGGATTTCAGGAAAAAAGAATTATTGATGCAACTTTATCATTAATATGTTAACTTATTTGAAAGTAGTTATATATACTTGATCACGTAATTCTGTGTTGTGTATAATTATGTGTAACATTAAAGCGGCTTTTTTTAGTTTTAATCCATTTAATCAATATTTACATTTTTTCTGACTCATTTGCAATATTTGATATGTTGTATTTTTAGATTAAATTAATCATTTTTACACCTATTTATCAATGTGTATAATTAAAAATCATATTTCTTTTATTAGTATGCTCATTATTCAAATATATATGGTTCTACTTTATGGAATCTAATTTAATAATTACTTCTATAATATGGTATAGGTACCTTTATTAATTTATTAATAGATAATTTATACATTGATTTAAATTAAATTAGATAGTTTTACTTCGTGCAAAATAATGTATAATAATTTATTCAGTATATAGGAACAAGAAATTAGAAATCAGTAAGACTTTTTTATATTTTAATATAACATTAATGCAATGTAATATTTAATAAAACAAAATTATTATAAATGAATGGTTATTTTTAGTTATTAAACTATTTTAACAAATTATATTTAAAAGTTTAAAATAATATTACTAAATATAAATTATATTATGGTTTGTACCTATAAACTTGATTCACTTAGTACTCTATCAATATCAACCACCAACCTCTTCGAATGTATACAATACTCGTTACTTAGAAGTGGCACTTGATCGGTGTCTCACAAGGGCAGCACACATCAAACCCCCCCCCCCAAAAAAAAAAAAAAAAAAAAACTATTAAAAGACAGAAGTATACTACTACGGTACCTCCTAATATCTAAACACGTTAACCCGAATAATAAATATTTCATCTACTAACTTCTCCTCAAACCATTCTTAACCTATGCTATTCAAGTTTTGGTGCTCATCAAAGAATCCAATATTAACCAACTACAGACATTCCAATCTAACCCACTGCCAAATCACAAAATCTCCTTTCTAATCATTCTCTTCACAAATACCTCAATATTCTCCTTGTCTCCAGTGTTCACAGTAGAATACTATAAAAGTCTACATTCTAAATTTATCACCCACCCAAATTTATTGATAATTAAGCTAGTCTTTGAAAATATACCCGTCGACCCGCCGAGGTATTTGAAGTGATATTGGTGTAGAGACCTTAAAAATCATTAATCAATAATCTAACCAAATGTAATCACATATATTTATAGCCTAATTAAAAAAAAAAACCAACAATGGCATCAATTTTACTTATTATAAAAAAATTGTTACAGACTGTAAAAATTAGAAATAAAGAAAAAAATATATAGTACTCCAACAGTTTTTCGTTTTAATGAAGATTTATTGAAATATTTTGTTACATATACGAAAGATTTATATGATATGGTTGCAATAAATTCATATTAAGTATAACATTTAATCTAATTTGAGCAATGTGATAGTAGGTAGATACATATCGTAAATACTGAGTATTATATGATGTAAATTTATTTTGTTTTTTCTCCTATGCTATATTATATTGAAATACTTTTATTTTGCTTGAATTCATTACACTGTTATGAAATAAGAATTCGATTATAATTATTTCAAAAATTGTTTCTATATCTAATAATCTAATAACAATCAATTATATAAATAATTTACGTTATTTGAAGATTTTGTTTTACGTTTTTTTCATTATTATTGAAAATTCGATTTCATATTTATCATTTTACATTTCAAACATACAATTTCAATCAACCATATTTTAGTAAATAATAAATTATTATTATAGTTAGTTAAATATTTGTCAATAAAGTATAAAAGTATAGGTATCAATTAATTCACGAATTGGAACGTGTGTCTACTACATTCCATCGACATTTAACCTATTAATGTAATTCTCTATTTAATTAACAAATAAATAACTAATATTTTATTGTCTATATCATTAAAATATTAGACCGGATATGAAAACGAATTAAAGTAAAACAATAAATACCTAACTATTTTAAAAAGGTTCTTTAGTTTATCGTGGAGTCATGGTTTTCTATTTTCTTATTCCTCAAACTTCTACAGAAAATAAACGTAAGATAAAAACTTATACGATTGTTATTTTAAACAAATAACCTTTGTATTAAATGGACAATAAAGGCGTATACTTTTAATAAAAGTATTTAAATATGTGTTATTAACGTTTTTTTTCCAGTTTTATACAAAACTGTAAAAAAAAAAGAAACTAGTCATACTTAATTTAAACAGATTTTTTTTTTGTAGCAAAAACAATTAAACATAATTTTCTTAAATTAAAATTGCTATAAAAATAACTCACCGAAAAAATATTCAATAACTGTTTTATATTGAACTCTTCATGAACAATCTTTTGTATTTAGATTTTTGCCACTTCATCTGAAACCAAAATTATAAGTGTTGTATACTTTCATAAAAAAAATTGTTGATAAGCGACCGATAAGTTTATTTTTTTAAAGAAATTTTAGTCAAAGATCAATCTTCAAAAACTATTGTAAGGATGTTTAAGACGTGTTAGATAGGAAAAAAATAGAAACCATTTTGATTATGTTAAAACTACCAAACCAAATTGTTCGGGAAATAAAAAATATCTTAGTTGTGGCAATAAATAATTAAGGTGATCAAGATAATATAGGGATTTGATATAGCATATAACCTAGAATGATAGTGAGAAAGTGATTTTTACTACAAACATGAATTTATAAGTGATTAACGTTTTTATAAGTAAAAAAGTAGACCAAAAAATTTAAACAATTGATGTCATACATGGAAGAAAAAAAGGCTGGGTGACATAATAAAGAACGGTTAACCGTTACAAACCACGTACAGCAGTTGGGCGATATATTATCCCATAGATAATCTCGTGTATAGTTTAAACGAATAGTATACGAAATAATAAAATTAATTTTAAAAATTTAAACGAATAATATATATATATATAGTTTTTCTGGAAAGACTAAATCACACTAACGATTTGCAACACTCACTGGGACATCGATAAAACGAAATACAATATGGTAACACCAGAAACCCAAAATGAAAAAAACCTTAACTTCTTAACGTGATCTGGTGCTGGAATCGTATTCGCCAAAGCCAGTAGGTTCGACGAGGACGGGACATGTTTCTACTAAAAGTGTATATTTTTCTTTTCCACCAACACCCGTTTCCACCAAATGATATTTGACCGATAACCGTTTCCACTGAAACAATTTCTACTACAAAACTCACTAGTTAAGCGTATTTAGCAAAATATTATGCGTTTTAAGTTTTAATATAGTCTCTATTGAACTCTGTAATGAATTTTATTTTGTTGACATGTTTTAGCATCTAAATAAAATACGATAGTAATCATTCAATAACTGTCCACTAGTACTGAAAAGGTGATGCATATCTGTATAGCATAATATAATAAATCTATATATTTAAAAATCATAAACTTAAACATAGTACTAAAAAACGAGTTTTCTTATGTACATATATATGTACTTTCAAATTGATTAAATGAGATAAATCAAAGACAATCTATTAACTTGGTATCATACAACTTCACGAGTATTTTAATCTATAGGTAGTGTATTTTCATAATTATAAAAAGAATAATTCATGTACTTGTAGGTGATATAGAAATTGATCGGTGAAAACAAGTATCGGTCAAAATATAATTCGATGTAATCGGGTCTTACTGGAAAAGGGAAAGGTACACTTTTGGTGGAAACTTTTTACGCCTTTCAAAGAGGTGTTCAACGAACGGTGGTGGGTGCACCGTTCAAGCGGTACACTGATGACGGACGGGGTATACCAAGAAAGAATGGTAACCGCGGTCGATACCGATTTCCGGTACACGTACACGGACGTATATGGGTGATATAGTAACACACACGCATTATTTCTATCCATTTTGAACATTGTCTATATATATATATGTTAATGACGCGTACGTCGGGACGTTTTGTTTTTCAGCTTCGCTATCCGTGATGATGGCCGGCACGTCAATGGGCTGGCCGTCGCCAGTGTTGGCCAAGTTGGCCAGCGGTCAGTTAACAATGTCGGCGAGCAACGAGCAACAGTCGTGGATGATCGCACTGCTGGAGTTGGGCAACCTGCTGTCGCCCATACCGTTCGGGCTGCTGGTGGACGTGCTGGGCCGGAAACCGTGTCTACTGATGACCGGGCCGCTGTACATCGTCAGCTGGCTGATGGTGCTGTGCAGCAATACGATCAGCGTTCTGTACTGGGTGCGGCTACTGCAGGGCGCGTGCATGGGCATAATCACGACGGTGGCGCCTGTATACATCGGCGAGATAGCCGGCGACGGTATCCGCGGCGCGCTCAGCACGTTCTTCAACGGGATGCTGAACGCCGGTATACTGTACGTGTACTGCATCGGGCCGCTAGTCTCGTACGACAACCTCACGTATTTTTCGATGGTGGTACCGTGTCTGTTCCTGGCCACGTGCCTGTGGATACCCGAATCGCCGTACTACCACGTGTTGAAAAACGACGACAAAAAAGCGCTGGAGTCACTGACGTGGCTGCAGGGTGACGCGGAGTCGGCCATCGTAGTGCGCGAGTTGATGCACATCAAAGCGGAGGTAAAGAATGAGCTGCGGAACAAAGGGTCGATGAGCGATCTGTTCGGGTCCCGGTGTAGCCGCAAAGCGTTCCTGATCGTGCAGATCGTGGCCGCGGCCGACGTGCTATCTGGCATGACCACCGTGCTGGCATACGCATCGTCCACGTTCGCACACGCCGACACGAAGCATACACTGTCCCCGGACCAGTTCACCATGTTGCTGGGCGTGCTCATATTCTGCACCACGTTCATCACCGGCTACCTGGTCGACAAATTGGGCCGCCGTCCGCTGCTATTATTTTCATGCTTCGGCTGTGGCGCGTTCGAACTCATCACCGGCCTGTACTACTACAACCGGTGGTCCAACGTCGGCTCGCTGGGCGCCTGGATACCGTTCACCGCCATCGGGTCGTTCGCCGTCATCTACAGCATCGGTCTAGGGCCACTGCTGCCCACGCTCCAGGGCGAAATGTTCCCGTCCAATATTCGTGGGCTGGCCAGCGCGTTCACATCTGTCACGCTCACCGTCATATCGTTCGTCGGGCTCAAGATGTACCAGGTGATCACCGACCGGTGGGGCATACACATCAATTACTTTATGTACGGTTCCGGGTGCCTCTTGTCGTTCCTGTTGATTTACGAATTCCTGCCCGAGACCAAAGGCAAAACGTTCTCGGAGATCCAAAACGAAATCATGAAATCCATCAAGTCACCGAAAAACCGACGGAAACCGAGTGTGAGCACCACGGGCGTATAAACGGCAGTTGTCGCTCGCGTGTTCATGATTGCCGTGGACATTTGTTATTTATGATTTATTATTTAAGTTTTCAAACATTTATTTTTGTATAGTATTAAAATAAATAAAAGTTTATACTTGTGTAAAGCATATTAAATATTCACGTGTATTATTTTCATAATATCTAATATCATAATAATATCATATCTCAGAATATCTTTAAACTAAATTGGTCATCAACATCAACATCTTCGTCTATTAAAGTTGGAGGGAAAAGTAGCGAATTATTTGTTTCTCCGAACCACTATGCCACTCTTACTGTGGATAAAGATTCTCATCCGGAGGTGTTCAGTCCTCCTCCCATCACAAATTCACTTCCAGACCAATCTAACACACCGTCCATCAGTGAATAATCATCTCCAAGTACCAAAGTTCAAATATCTATTTTTTACATAAGTGGAGGCTACGAATTCCCCACGCTCAAAAAATCACTATTTGACTCATCGAACATTTTTTTTTTTTTTTTTTAAAGAATTCCTAAATATTTGATTGTTCGCTCACACAAAATAACAACTCTTAATACTAGGTACTAATAAATTCCTAGCTGATAGAGAGCAGATCCACAGAATTTCACACATTTTTACCCAAGTCATTAAAACCGTAGAGAGTATTTATCAGGCCAGCATATCAGGTAAAGGTCATGAAGTTATTCGTGTCATGAATACTCTACACCTTATTACTAAACTCCTATTATCTCTTAATGTTGAAATTTTTTAAGTTGAACTTGCTCTTCTACACTAAAATCAAAATCGAGTAGCTGAGAAAAAAACTTTTACCCCCACAGTGCAAGTATTGCCAAGATTACTTCCATACAAATAATATTTGCCACTTCGCTGTGTCAAATTTGATTATAAACGTTTTCCTCAGATTGCACAAAAGCACCATCGGATCCCATGAACTGGGCTCATGCTCAGGACTGCATACAGTTTCCTATAAGAGCTGTCCTGTATACCGAAAAATCTTAAAAAATTACCAAAAACTTAAAATTAAATAAATATCTCACTCCCAAATAAAACCAATTTTACCAAACACATCACCAAAAAAATTTCTTGAACACTTTAAGGCGATAATTAATCCATTAATAATTTTTCTAACCTCCATATTAAATCGCCTATTACCATCTCCTTTATCCCTTAAATAATATCTATACATAAATATAATAGTTATATATACAAATTATGCCAAATTTATAAATTTCAATACCTACATTAATTGCGTTCATTATAATATTATTAAAAACTTTCTTTACTGATTTCTTTTATCATTATAATTATTACTGTAATTTATTATATTAGATTATGTTATAAGTTTATACATTTATAATATAATCTACATTTTTTCAACATTCATTATTCACTGTATAAATATCATGTTATATTCTTATTCTTATTTTAAAACCTATACATACCATAACTAATTATTCGATTTAATATTATACACTATCATGAATGAATTGTTATTGTTGTCGAGTTAAGATAGTTTTTACTAGTATTTCTTAAATAAAAGGAAAAAAATGTTTGGTAAGAGCCAAATAAGTAAAATAGTGAAAATATGAAAAAAATAAGAATATAGTATTATATCTCTCTATTATGTTATTAGGGTTTTAACTGAACGCATGGAAAGTTATTATACTTTTCAAAATATTATATTTAAAGTTGTATCAATGGAATACGTTTTTGCTCCAACAATCATGTTGAACTATTTCTGTACAATATTTTTAACAATAACAAATTGTAATATTGCTAAAACTGAATATATTAAACAGATACTCCGATAATTATTCACTGGGAACGATTTCGGAATGAATTTGACCTCAAAGTAACCCACCCAGAATAATATATATATATATTTTCACTGAACAAAATGCACTGCTCTAAATTGACTAAACTTTTCAAACAAGAATAACAATTTGACTATAATTTTTTATTTATAAGTCTGTCAATAACAAAAAATTATGTAGATAAGTAATTTTATAAAATATAACATATGACTCCCAATCAATAAGTGATGGTTTGTGATAAAGAATAGCGTGAGTTCAAAACTAATTATTATTAGAGTACGTTATTCGAATGAAAATAAAAAGTTTATGACATAATCTGCCGGATGTCTTATAAAATTATACCATAGACGCTACTAAGATAATTAGCAAGGAGAATCCAATTGTACCGGCAGTGTAATCGGAAAATTTAAAAAAAAGCTAGACGACATCATTTGTTATTCAAAAAATAATTTTCTTATGAACTAACTAGTTTATAATTAATTAAAATAAAGTTTAAAATATTTATTTTTTTCTTCTATTTGTTATTCTTTATTTTTTCAATTTAATCATTAATTTAAGTATGAGGAAATGCACCCCCTTTCACCTTCACTCACGACATCCATGATTTATTCGATTTGAGCATTGGTCACGGAATGCGATAAAACATGGGATGCACTCGACACGTAGAGACTAACCTATGTCGTATTCACATCAAATAACCCTTGGCGTACGGACGTGCAAATAGGCACCCATACAGGATGGAAATTTTACAGTGCTGACATGCGGTCGTTTTTCCTTTTTGACGTTTCAAACTAGAATCTCCCGCCAGCCTCGGTGATCAATAAGAAACGTCGCATTACAATAGGACCGAAAGGCAGAAGGGTGCAGCAACATCGTACACGCACTTTCCGTTGGCATTTTGATTGACAGTTATCCTCCATTATATGCACATATATACACGCAAATATATATAAACGTATTTGAATCCCGAAGAGGGATAAAGTTGCGGAAATTGCGTTAAGCCTCGTTTTGCCCCGAAAACAACGTGTACCGGAGACCCTAATCAATCATAAATGATTTTAGTGACATGTTCAGCGAAGGAGATTGCTCTGAGGCGTACCAAACGCGATCGAAAACAATTTCCATACGTCAAACCGCCAGAACAACGTTAATTTTTATACATTAAACGTTAACATATTGTTATGTCGTTGGAAAAGTGGGACTTACTTAAGTAAGAAAATAATAAATAAATATTCAGGTGTACAAAATACATATTATTTACATGACATATATTGCAACATATTATCATTGTTTAGTACATGGCGATATCATAAAACACTGCAAGCCACCAGCTTGTAAGTACTATATAAAAGTTACAGTATGTTATATTGTAATATGTACGAGTAATATAACAATTCAATTATGTCACATTTCATTTCATACGCATCATATGAGGCGCATATCACCAGATCAGATTAACCCATAAATCAAATTATGTTAAATGAGGACAAAACTCTTTAGATTGACATTATGATATTTAAAAACCAAAATGACTTATCCCACAAACAAATTTATCCGGAATATGGCGGAACTTGATTTTTTTTTAAAAATATTTTTATTTTTTTTTTACTTTCATTTGTATTTTTAGAGAAACATGAATTTATCGATTAGTCTATTTTGATACTATGCATCTCATGTTTAACAAACCAAATAGGTATAAGTCAATACCTACAATAATGTAAAATTTTGCCTTTATAGTGTGTACAACGATAATTTTCAGTATACGAGAACATGATTTTACCACTTACTATTTGAATTAAATATTATTGTTGGAACGTTAAAGTTCATGGATTTCAAAATTTCGTGAAATTATTGAGTGGGAGTTTCATATAAGGTTTTTTCGATTCCGGTTTCAGTTTCGATTTTTTTTAAAGAGTAAGGGTTCTAGAACCGGTTAATTTTGGATAATTCTGATTATTAGAGATTTATTAAAAAATAATATGAAATTATTTATTTATTCTTGTTTAAATTGTAATTATTTCATTTCATGAAAATAGAAGGTATTATGAATAGGTAAAAAAAGAATAATTATAAATATATTAAATATATAATATATTATATCAACCTATTATATTTTTTTGAGTTAGGTTATGTTATTTTATTCCAACTCATAGTAAGAATTTGTAAAATATTTTGTAATATTGTGAAATATTATGATTTGATTAAATAAATATCTTTAATTTAAAATTTAATTTTAATTAGGAATCAAAATTAATATTGGCTACTGTTGTAGCTACAAATTTGTATAAACATTAATTAAATTTAATACTTAATAGACAAGATAGATGATATACTCATTGTATAATTGTAATATATTAATAAACATACAAAAGTAATAATAATAATGATAATATTACAAATTTACTTATTATATACATTACACTATTACAGTTACAACACAAAATAATAAAAACATAAAAAGATTTGACTTTTATTTTTCTGAACCGACAAATGGACAGATAAAATAGTCATTATCATAGTTTTACTAGTCTAAATTACTACCCTAAATTAACCTTTTTATAATAATGATTACAGTTATGGTTATGGTTTTTCATTTTTGGAAATAAAGGTTCTGGTTTCAGTTACGGTTCCTAAATTTTAAAGATTAACCGATTCCAGTACCAGTTCTTTTCGGTTACAGTTCTGATCCCTGGGTTATATGCATTATGTTCTATATATAAATATAAATAAATCCACGTGTAAAAATACTTGAATTTATATTTTGTTAAATAAATCGTGACGAACAATATTGAACTATAATGCACGCGTACAGTTTTGCTATAATGATCAACTTATGTCAGGAGTATTATTTACTCACAGACCTATACTTACTACATGCATCGAGTAAGTTGGTGAGAAAGTTTGTGCGAAACAAGCCTCGCCTACGCAACGGAATTCCGCATGCGACAAATACAAAGGGAACCTTTTATTTACAAGACAAAAATACACTATACAGTTTTACGCATCACAGGCAGAACTAGTGAGAAAAAACTTTAGGGCTAATCCCCTCCACCTCAAATATTTTCATAGCCCTCCCAAATATAGAAAAACGAGCATTACGATTTTTTTATGTTCTAGATAATTTTATTCTGTACACGACATAACTATTTGGTTTGAAAATTCCGGTTTTTCAATATAATCGTGGACTTATTATTTAGTTAATAGGTTTATGAATTGGACACAGTGTATGTATGTAATGTAGTATATGTAATTAGATAGTTTTCTACTTTTTTTTTGTAATTTCGGCTACATTTTTATTAATTATGTTCTTAATTTAATTAATATGTGATGTCAAACTACGAGTGTTGAAAAAATTTGAACCGATAGTAGTGATTAGCGAAAGATTATATGGAAAAGATATTAATAAAAGGGGAGCGCGACTCCTGCTGGTTTGTTTTTTCTTGTTAAATTTAGCTCCCCTACCCTGAATTTAAACTCTGGTAGCACCTATGTTACTGATTGCTACGATGTGCAGCAATACTGCACAACGGACGAAAGCACAGTGCAATTAACTAATCCATATGGATACGCTTAAAAAAGTGTAAAACGAGTAATTTGATCCGCGAGCCACGCGTACCTTCTTAATCCGCGAGCCCGGAGCATAATTAAACAAATTCTAACGACTAGACGAGGTGTGGTGCGAAACATGAAAAAACGGTTTAGTGTAATCCGCGTAATGCTTTTCAGTCGTCGGGAGAAGAGGAAAATGACACCACGTTTCACCGACAGATGGTATCACGAGTAGCGGTCGTTCGCCATATCGTTCGTGGTGATACTAAAATCACGCTATCGAACATTAATTGTAACCGTAGGTCGCGTAGCAATGATAACATGGCGGTACAAGCCGATCGGTCACACGGCGAAAACGTGTAACCGCCAGTTGATTATTTCTCGATGATCAGATATGTCGTGACAGCCTGTGAGTAAGCTCGTGTTCGTCCGTCTACGCGTCGCCAATCGACCAGCCCACCCGCAGCTGATACGGTAAAGGAGTTTCGGTGCAGAGGACGGAGCGGGAGGACCGTCACGGAACAACTCGAACACATGTTGCATTAATATCGTAACATATTAAAGGCATTTATAGTGTCGTCCGTATCATTTGAAGGACATGGGCCGCTTCCAGTTATCCGGGTCGTCCAGACAGATAGCTGCGTGCATCATCGGTTCGTCTATTCTTCCTAATTATGCTTATTACGATCAATAAGTTGTACGATTACACATTATGAAGCATCGGGTTCGAACGCTATCGGATTGTTTGCCGATTTAACAATACATTTTTTAACCAGTTAACTAGACGACACAAATGTCGCCCAATGATTATATTCTGTCGATAGTATTTTGAAAGATTGGGCGAAATTATGCGAAGCGAACGTGAAATATCATTATATATATCGCACTATCATTATACTGTGGTATTATATGTCGACTGCTTTAAGTTTCAACATTTTTTTGTCGCCCAGTGAAAATCCCTTAAAAATGCAATGCGATTTAACACCACGAGTGAATCGCAAAATGTTTAGGAAATTTAATTTTTCAATATTCTCGGTAATTGTTGTATTCCTCGTCGTAAGAATAAACTGAAAAATAACTCGTGAATTATGTAAAATGTATATCAGTGTTGTCAAAATAATATATCTATAATCTATTATATTTAATATGAACGAAATGTCAACAGAATGACATTATATAATTACTACTGGATGAATATTTTATTTTATTTCCCAAAAACATGTGCGTTTTTATAACACTATATAATTATAATTATTATTATTATTATTATTATAGTATAATATTAAATATTATTATTTTATCCGTGCGTGTAAGTTACTACAGCATTTTTACAGCTATACAATAAAAAAAAAAAAAAACGATAGAAGTAATATTATATAATATTAAGTATATCAGATTTAACGCATTCTTCGACTGTAAAAAAAAAAAAATCCAAACTTACTTAATTTATTAAATTAAATTTATACACAAACGTACAGATTCCTATATAGTTACATAACACATATTTGCATGAATATTTAAACTTTATCTAGTTTAATAATGCGGCAGTGATAAATGGAAAATATTTATTAATTTCATATCATGCACCGTGAAATAATAAAAGTAAATAATCAATTATATCGCCTAAGAATATCGTTATCCACTCGCAAGTTTTCTCTAGTTATTCATTACAGATATATGTAAATGAACTTCCTTATTCATCATGAGATAAATACTTTTAAGTACATGAAAATTATTTTTCCATTGTTTACACATATTATATAAAATGTATAAAATGTAGTAAACTTTCGCAATAATAACAATAAATAGTACAAAGATTCACTTGCTTATAGATATTACTACGTGTAGAACATCTCTTCATATGTCGATTATCTGATTTATCTGAGTTATCTTATCTGATATTGACTATTATGTCAATAACCACACGATCCGTAAGATGATTTGCTACGTTTTGCGGGCTTCATCGTCACCGAAGCGCCGTGTGACGGATCCGAAGGGTCGTAACGTTTTCGAAACACTATATTATTTCGAACACTATACTGTCAAGGATGTCTATGGTGTTTTGGTAGCAAAGGATTTTTTTTTTTTTTTTTAATCAAAGCACTCGTTGCTTACACATTTAGAAAAAAATTACCGGTTGTTGCATTTACCCGATTAACGAATTTCCATCCCCAGTTGGGTAACTAGCTGTAAATTACATATTTCAATCGAAAAAACAGTTCGCCGATTGGACATCACTGGTCTACGATCATATAGAGTACATTTCATTACATTACCTTTAGACGTCGAAAAAATAAATCGAATACACAAAGATTTGTTACGTATTCCGCGTATGGTCTTATGTAATTGAACATTGTTTACACTGGCAAACATGGCTACACACGCTCACATATTTAAACATGTTAACAGCGTCCCTGCCCACGTTCATGGCGGGAATGGTGCTGGCATGGCCGTCTCCCGTCATCGAGTACATGTCAACGGGACGCGTGCCTGTGCTGCTGACACCAAAACAAATGTCGTGGATGGTCGCGTGCATCGACCTGGGCGACTTCGTCATGGCTGTGCCCGCGGGATTGCTGATGGACCGCATGGGACGCAAGTTTATCGTTAACATGTCTCCGCCGCTTATGTTTACCGGATGGATGTTTTTACTGTACGGCCGTCAAGTGAGAATTGCTTTTTGTTTTTTCTTTCCAAACCGTTACATCCTATTCGTGACTGTAAACGGCATGCGATACAAGCGTAACTCCGAATAGTTATATTTTATGTTTTCGTAAGCCATCTTGCTGGCCGAGTGGAGAGACATTCAGTGGTGTGCACAGATCCGTACACATCAGTATAATTGACGAAGAAACCTATATGTTGCGACTTTATTGCAATATCAATGGGTCACAATTGTGTATACGTAAGGTGACCATATATATTTTTCAAAACTGGACAGAAAAAAAAATCATTTTAATTAAAAACAATTTTTTTTTAATTAATAATTATTTATAAAATAATATGCTATTATAATTTTAAGATACAAAAAAAATAAATTTTAATAAAAAAAACTTTTTTTACATAAAAGAAAAGGCATCTACGTATAGAAAACGGTCGAAGATTATTGTAATACCGAAATAATGAATTATGAAAAATAATTTTTTGTTAGCGCTGATCTTGCGGTATCACAGGTTAATACATCTATATTAATACATCGTTCGCCGCAATAGGTATTTTTATTTTTCGATACACCACATAGCTCCGATTCCGCTCAACGTCAACCATACGGTAATATAGGATATACACGTTATAATGTAACGTCGTTACACGAAGACATAATAGTTAAATATAATAGAAACAATTACTCATCAGTAGATTAAAATTGATAATAGTTATTTTTTACTATTTTCTGAAAAAGGCAAATTTCAATGTCCCGAAAATTTTACTGAGGACAACGGGACGAAGATGTGAAAAACGTATAGTCCGTTAAATATATATAACTTGTACAGAAATATCCATGCATTAATATCGTCTCCTGTTATTGATTTTTTCCCAACGAACAATAAATTATTAATATTCGTTAAATAAATGTAACAATACGCATAAAAATAATTACAAAAATAAAATCATATCAAGCTTTGTTATCCTCTCAGGTAAACCTCTTATCGGTGAGTAAAATAATGTTTCTCAAACGGTTCCAACTTTGCTATCAAAGGCTATCAAATGATTTTTTTGTTTTTTTTTTTACTCACTATAGAAAACTCAATATAATTGCCTTTAGTCAGGTAAACTGGTGTGCGCATGAACGAAAGGGTGTAGAAATAAATTGGGTGACCTCGAACAGGCGAACCACGCGAATCGACCTCCAATCAACCTATACACACACATACGATTAGTACACAGCTTATGCGACGCGTATTATTCTCGACTTTCCGCAACATAACAAAGTTATCGACAATTATTAAGTTATTTTCGCAGTACTAAAATTGATAAGCATAAATAGTTTTTAGTGTAAACGAATAAAACCACCCCTAATGTGTCAATGGAAGATTCGATAAACCTAAATTTATCGAATTAATCGCGTAGTTTTATATTTTAACGTGGAAATGTATAGACATTAAAAATGACCGCGGAAAGCCGTTATAGTAAAAATCTTCATGTTCTCGAGCTGTACCTCTTTATACATGGTGAGCAATTTATACCGATTTTTTTTTGTATGATTTATTTAATATTTAAATTCCAAGGGTACAAAAAAAAATTAATAAAATTTTATTCGAGAAAAAAATCAAATTAATTAAAATACGAATTATGTAAAATAAAAACAGAATAATGACGTACCTCAATAACGTACATCCAGCAGAAGCGTAATAATAATAATTATAAACAATAACGTTTTTTAGTTCATGATATTTTCAGCGTATGATGACCTAAGCGGATTATTATAATTTGAAAAGTCAGCTCTCCAAACGTTTGTTCTTGCGAGCATTCAGAAAAACAACGATAACAAAAATATAAAACAATGACATATTAATAGAATAAAATTATAATTCCATGTGACGTGCGACATAACACGCGGTATTCGTTTGAAATGAATATTCGCAAGAGAATGAAAGAAAACCAAGTAAAGTTATATTGTATCAACGTGTTAATAACACACGTCGACTCTTGGGATTAGGTCGCTGAATATTTACGTTATTTCGAAAAATAAAATTATTTACAAGTTTGCAGCGACGGTGGGATCGCGTTATTATCGTTATAACTCCTCAACCCACACACAACAATAATAATGTAACACGCTCGGCAATTTATCATTACGGGGCCGCTCACGAGATTGTATTCGAACAATGAATATTAACGTCATATTATTATACGAAAACGGTTGTTTCCAAAACGCGACGCGGTCTTCGTTGTCAGATCTCCCGCAAACGCGAGGGACAAAAACGAAAAAAGTGAAAAAAAAATGCGGTCAGATTCCGCTAAGAGTAGGTTACGGTATACGGTGGCACGTATATATAGTCGCTCAGCTCGTATTGTACTAAAGTTCGAATAGAGACACGGTGAGTGACGTTCGTTGTATTCCTGTAAATCCCATTAAACCCGAAATAATTTATTAAACGTCGTCGAATCTAACGTATTTTAATTAGATATGTCGATTCTTAGAATCTCGATTACAATGTTTCTCGAGGCAAAAATAGAAATAAATTAATAAAACCAATCTACTTCGAAACATTTATAGGTGCTTATATGTAAGATAATTTTTTTTTACCCCTGAGTCGCTTTGATTTTAATTCACTCTATGAAAAATTACTCTTTACACCCGCACTATATCCATATTTAAAATATATTTGTGTAATCGTAATCGTTCTAATTTATTCAATTCCACTCAGTGAATATTAAGAAAATATCACGCAAGAAAATAAACTCTAATAGATATAATAATGTTTACGGAAATATTTCGACTAGTTAAAAGCAAAAAAGATGATTTGATCACAAAACGACCATCAATTTCACATCTTGATGGTTATAATTTTCCAATATACAATGTAACGTCAATATATTATTTTATCGCGAATACCGATTATATCATTTATGCGTTTCTGGTATTGCATACCGACAAGGATATACACTTTTTTGAAATATATTAATAAAACTCTAATTTTTGTATGTTATCATTAAAGTGAATTGTTTACAGCTGTGGATACTTAATTTTTACTACCTATATTAAAATATAAATTTTAAGATTTTTTCATAACTAGTTTATTCATAAAAATATATTTAAATATATTATTCTGTATAGCGTTTGATTTAATCGTACCATAGTTTCAAAGTACAATTTAGCATTCGTCCAATACATTAACGTAATATTTATAGATACCTACTATATCGATCGCTCTTTTATTTATTTTTTATAATTCAAACAGACCTCTACCTACGGTTTCAAAGTTCACGTGATAGTATCACTAATGTATTGATTGCCTTCGTGTTGCCTATTGGGGATGTTAATTTGGTCTAATCGTTAATTTTTCACCAAAATATTATTTTTATGTTTTTCAATAAATATATCAATGTTTATATATGAAAATTGATTTAGGCATTCGCCCGGAAAAATAACGCAGTGCGTGCGTTGATATATATATATTATTATTATCACCATCATAACACAATTTGTCAATTTTTCCAGGCATGGTGTCTTTATTTGGCCAGGTTGTTACAAGGAGCCGCGGTGAGCATCGGATTTGTGGTGTCACCGGCGTACATCGGCGAAATGGCCAGCAACCAGATACGTGGTAAGATGTGTCTACTGGTGCAACTCAGTTACGCACTGGGCCTTTTGTTCTCGTACGTGGGCGGTTGGCTACTTAACGGTTACGCGGCGTTGATAATCGCGTCCACCTGCGTTACTGTCGCGTTCGCGGTTCTGTTGCTATGGCTTCCGGAATCGCCGTACTACCTGATGCTGGACGGTCGGCCGAAGGACGCGGCTGAGTGCTTGTGGAGCCTGAGGAGTTACGCGGCCGACGATCTCCAGTCCGAGCTGGTGGACGTCCAAAAATCCCTAATGAACACTAGGTATTTATACATTCGCATGTGTAGATTACATGCGCATACGGTAGTTGCGCCAGGCAGTGTATCAATTTTTCTATTTAGTTCTACGGGTGTGTGTAATTTCTCCCGAAAATGACCAAAATAGAAAAACAAAATAATAACGATATATGAACTTTTCCACGTCCTCCATGATATTTGTGACATCCAAAATGGTATATACTATACAATGTTTAATCTGCGCCACTACCGATGGTGAAAAGTGACTCGTTTAATCAGTCGCGATATCCGAAACATGAGATCACGGTGGATGTGATTGTGTCAGTTCGATGTTTACCACGATTTCACAGTGTTCACCTGTATCAATTTTTAGTTTAATTTTTAATTCATGTTACAAAAAACAACCAACATTAAAGACGATAATTTGTTATTATTTGAAGGCTGTACCTGCTGTAATTTTCACCGGCCTAAAAGTAGTACAATATGATGGTGCTGTACTAGAATAATATGTCCTGCAAAAATTCTTGCTTTTGTAAAAAGTTTTGTTATGGTAAATGAGAAATCAATAGATCTATATAAAATATGGCTTGACATATAAATCATTTACCTATAATGTATAACGGTTTATTTGGTGATGGTGCGAATTACTACGTTGGTCGAGTACATAGTGACGCAGATAACGTGATGAAAAAGTACGGTATAAAGTAAAATACATGTGTAAATTTTACTAGATGTATGTGTCACAAATTACCATGGCGTGGTGGAGAACATAAATCGCGGACAGGATGTGACGTTAAATAACGAAACGCATAGTCTTCTGCAGAATTCGAATCTGTCGAGTTGGCAAATGAAAATTTACCGTGTGTTTCGATAGAAAAAAAACAGACGACTATTTACGAATTTTATATATGTCTTATGAGCGCTAGACCTGTGTAAAATATTACGTGTGCAATATAACCACCACATGCATATGTAGAGTGTACCTCGCTGATATTTTTGATCGATATTTTTTTATAGTCGACTTGGGCCTTCTATAGAACTGAACCGTTATTTATTTTTTTCTACGATGACACTACGTGTATTAATAATGTTTTGTAATATAATATAGACGAAAAATTAAAAATTGTTTTATACAATACAGTTAGTATTTCTATACACTTACTGCAGCAAGTTACACCTGTATATTATATGTACGACATACGAGTTTAAGATCATTTTTTGAAAGCCGGTCTCTACGTGGAATAATTGTTCGTGTGATACAGTTCAAATTGACAGTTCAGTTTTTTGTAACGATTTTGAGAACTCTGAGAATAATATTAACATTTAAAATTTAAATAATTTTATTATAACTATTGCAATTTAATTCTTTAAATTCTTTGCTTTTTTTCAGTTTTAATATAATTCTAAATCGTTTATACAATGCTGATACAAATGAACAAATTACAATCAGAGTTAAAGTGAAATAATTTTATGGTATAATATAAAAACCAAAAACATTGTCGCACGGTAAACGTATTGTTATTTGTTATACGAGTATACACACGCATACACACACACCCGTTGAACTCGACTTTTCAAAACAAAAGTCTTCATCGTATTATATCCTGTTCATACACTTCGTAAATATAAATGAGTTTGACCTACATCAATGTTTTTTTAACAGTTGTACGTATATAACATGTTTATACTTGTTGCCCGATGTTAATCGCATTTTCAACACAAATAATATATTGCACACATCGATTCGAAACGATTTCAAATACGTTCTGTATCTATATCGATCTATATTGAATCAAATAACAATAGGCCGTTACGTACATGTTATACTTTTAAAAGAAAACTTATTGTTATTTTTGAAAACCCTAGAATAATTTATAACACAAAAGGAATTATACGATCGCGACACCTCTGACCGTTCGCATTTGGTGGATTTTTTTTCTTGTTACCTTGCGCAAATTGTCCTAGTGACGGGGAAAAAAGATCGCTTACCGTTGAGAGTGCTCAAAAGTTTTCGGGCCCCGCGACCCTGAGATAAACCTTACCACTATAACGTTACATTCCGCACGGGATACACGTGTAATATACGCAATTTTTACGCGATAAGACCTGATACCGTATACCGTATGTAGCCCTACCCGGTCATATACATATCCAGTTCAGGTGATTTTACTGCCCACGCTACCGTAGCGATTGGATAACGGAATTTATCGGTGAAACGTGCACATCTTAAAGGAAGAAAAACGGTAATAGTAAAGGCAGTAAAGTTATTTCACTTGTATTTTTTTCGTATACCTACGCTTATATTTATTGTTAAATAAGCTTAAAATAAGTTTTACTAAAATATTCATTCGATAACAATTTTTTTCTTTAATAAAACGCAGTATTAATCGTGTCTATTATTCTAACGCAATTTTAACCGTTTTTCATAATTTCTCATTGATTATTTATTATTCCCTCCCCCCAATTAAAATTCCTAAAAATGCCACTGACTATATATAAAAAATGTTTATACATACGGTATTTATAACTTTTAAAATATATTTCAGTGTTTCAGATTTCATATTATCATAACAGTGTATGGGTATTTTACCAAAATAATATTATTTTTACTTTCTTTTTACAAAGACCACCTACCCCCATTTTACCATGAATTACCCCTTCCCATCTTCACTGTGTGAGAGAATTTATTAGGATCCTGAAAGGACTCAGATACATATTAAACGTGGAACCTTATCCGGTGTCTCATCGATTTCGTAACAATGTCGTTCGTTAGGCCTTTCAAAAACAAACAACTACTATAGTAAATTAGTCCCGTAGAATTTTGTAATCCAGGATACCTTTTTTTCTATTACGTTTATTATTTCACAGATATGTCTATTGATTAGTTATTTGCATACAAGATAAGTTTTTCCCTACTGTGTTGTAGTTAGGCATATAAAAAAAATAAAAATATGTAAACAAATTTGTCTATAATAGGTGTAATGAATCTTTTTTGGGTCAAGTGTCAAATTTTTCCAATCAAGGTTTTGATCGTTCACGTGCCCAAATGAAATAATATTTTCTAAGAACAAAAATAAAATTACAGATTTATTACACTATTATTATTTTTATTAATTTTTTGTTATTTTTAGTGAAGTTAGTTATTAGTTAGTTAACAAGCAGCCATTGTTTCATCGGTCAAAACATTTTTTTCCTACGATTTAATTTAATTTATTATGGAGAATAAACTTTCACAAGCATAAGTTGACAAAAAAATTTAAAGTATAAGGAATATTATCATTTTTAAAATGTATATAATTTGTTTCTTTTAATTTTTTATAACTAAAATTTTATAAATAGCATAGCTTTTTTTTTGTGACAATTTTTTAATAATTTCAATTTTTCGCGTACCATTGAGTTTGGTCGAGGTGCAACCTTTAGCACGCATGCTAAGGTTTACTGCTCTTGAACGATAGGATCTAAACTGGTACACACATTTCAGTACAGAACGTTCACAAAATACAATAAATATTATACCACAGTGCCGGATTTAGTTAGAACACAATGCGTCGAGCCCCCAAGGATATTGTTTAGGGGATTCAGATCCTAAATTTTCTCAATGGCATAATACATTATGGTCGTATAATATAAAAAACATTTAATTAAATATTAAACAATGATTCAATATATTACACAATTAATGTTAAATAGGATTATAAAAAATGTATTACTGACATTGATTAATTTGTAGCTTATATATATTTATATTATTTCAATTTAACATGTATTGAAAAAATATATTAGATTTATGTGAATCTATTTTATTAAAAGAGCCCCCGGTTATAAATTTCATCACCTACTGGCCTGACAAAACCTAAATTCGGCACTGTACATACAAATCTGCAGTATACTTAATGATGGTCTACGTTTCCAAATATGTTGTGTTACTTACGTTATCTCACTCTGTCTCTCTCTGTTTCTCTCTCACTCTCTCTCTCTCTTTCACCCACTCTTTATTTAGTCATCATTCCAAAGGTGTTACTTTTTTTAGCGATATATAGATACATTAGTTTCAGTAAAATTCTTTTTACGACGAAGGTTGTACGCGCCTGCTTGAATACGTCGCACGAGATATCCATTAAGGATTTTACCGTATAATTTATATTCACGAATTTAAACTACTACATTTACGCCATCGTTTGAATGTTTATACTCGTATTGTATTCGAGCTGCTTGTTTAAAGATGTACGTATATGTTTATATACATAAATCATATTTATATCCAAATGCTATATTCATATATATAGATAACTACTGTGTACCATTTAAGGTTTTGTTTCACCGGCCATCTATCGGTTAATTTTTATTTTTTTGACATATTTTTATACTCCGGGTGAAATGTGGAATGTATCTTTTGACTTAGTGTGAATGGAATTTTTTTTGCATCTGTGTTCTGTATACCAAATTGATTGCTCCGATCATCACCAAAATAAAATAAAAATATAGGAAATTATTTCAAGTTGGTTTATTGTCAGTTTTTATTTCTTAACAATTTTCTGAGTATTTGTAATACGTGAAAAAAATTCCAAAAAACTTTCATTCCAATCGTGATTCAAACCATCGCTAATTGCCTATTATTGTATTACACCTTATTTGTGTGTGTGTGTGTGTGTGTGTGTGTGCGCACGTGCTTGCGTGTGAGTATATTGAATTATTTTACAAATTTCCCAATAGTTTTCTTAATAATTACGAAAAACTAAAAAAAATGTTATGAAAAGCAACAAAATGTATGATCATATTTTTGTTTTCATCGCATTGAATGAACAATAGTCTACTTGAAATTTTCACTGAGTACTTAAATCAATAGTTGCTATAGATAGTTCAATATTCAAAAGATAAACATTTTCATGTTTTCTTAGCTTTTCCAAAAATATCGATATAATAATTTCAGTAATACAAAAATTCTTGAAAATATAATATAAAGTTTCTCATATATATATCTATTACCAATTGATGAAAAAATCGATGTTAAGAAAAATAAATAAATACAAGCATTATGAACATTAAATTTTGACAAGTTGAAAAATATCACAAAAATCCGTTACATTTTTTAATCAACATTTCATAGAATTTTATATTTTTAAAACGTCAAGCTTGAAAATTGAATACAACATTTTTCATATAATTATCTTAGTAGTTAAAAAAAAAAAATTACTTTAAAATATCACAAAAACAATTTGTGAACGTTGATAAATAAAATGTTGACAAAATCGGATATAACAACTTATTTCCATTAAACGATATTAGCTACTTAATTTAAGATATTTTACAGTTTCAAAATATTTTAATGTTATCTGCACTATTTATAAATACTTATCGATTTTCTCAAATTTGCGAAAGTTAGAACACAAAAAGTTCAACTGATCTTATTAAGAAATTTGGTTTTTCTACTGTATCAACTATCTTTAGAAATATAAACTAATTCATCCGACCTTTTTCACTCAAAATTGTTTTTAAGAGCAATGGTACATTGGTTTCAACAGTAGCAGAGCTAGGGGTGTGCGACCTTTGCAGTCGCATAGAGCCCCGCGCTTCCTGGGGCTCCACAGTTAACAAAAAGTCGAGCAAAAATCTGTAGTTAATTCACGATTTACTATGAAAAATTGGGGCCCGGAGTAAAGTTTACAAGTATGAACTCGAACGCCGTTTATTATTGTTAAATACTTCAAATTAAATTTTACCATAAAGTAATTGTAATCTTGAACATGCTAGATAATGATTAAACATTACGCCAATATCACGTAGTGAATTGTTCACAGGAAAAAAAAAATAATTTACATAATTGTAAAACCATTAGATCCTTTGCTTCACTCAGAAATTAAAATGTTTTTATAATGAATTTGTACTTCTTGAGAACACTTGGTCATAAATTTCTAAATAATTCTTAAACCAAACATTTTTTATTGATAAGAAATTAAAGAAATGGTAATTTTTATTTATATTAAAAGGTGATAACGCTTTTGTTACATCTTTTGAGCATTTGATTGAAGATTTCAGTCAGAAAAAAAGTAGAAGAGTTTATTTTTGAAAGCATATCTAAACATAACTGTAATATAAATACAGATTCATACTGTACCTTGTGCTAATATTATTTTTATTCTTAATCAATTTAAACTTTTTGTTTTATTTATAGATTGTTCAAAAATCCCAACTAATTAATTATATACATGAAAAAACAAACCACTTATAAATAAAAAATAAAAAAACTGTAACGTATCATAGGTTGTATATGCAATCTACAGTCGTTAAACAGCAGTAATGATGAAAATCTGCTCTAAAAAGCATTAAAAATGCATAATATTACACCTAATTAAAAAAAAATTAATACCCCCAATACAGTAGTAGGGGCCTCACAAATCATGTGCCGTACAGGGCCTCGTGGTGGCTAGAGCCGCCACTGGGTTTCAAAATGAAAAAGACCAATACAACAATAACATTCACCCATCCGTCTATTTTATCTGACCGTAAAGTTTCCCCAACCTAGGAGTTTCGCCTTTTTTTTAATATTATTCATGATAATAATAATTATCAATAATATCCCATTTTTTTCTTTTTATAAACGTTATATTTATGATTTTAAATTGGTTCTCTTATATTTTATCAGATATTGTACATGCGTATACAATATAGCGTGTATTATGTGTCATTTAAACGCACCATACGAAGAAGAATGTCCACTAGTTTTTTTTATTTCTTTATTATTTTAATAAATAAATAACTGGAGTACTCTTTTTAAGGAATTAATTTTTTCCTCAAAGTACTAGTCATAGAGAAGTATATAATTGCGTTAAACGGAATGTTTACTATCAATAAAAACGTAACTTAATAGTTGTGTGAAACACAAATAAATGCAATTTCATTTTCGAACAAAAGTACTTAAGCTGTCAACGCCACGAGTTATTATAAAAACGAAAATAAAACAACATTCGTGATAAATTATATTTCGTCTTAGTTTAAAATTGAAATGATAAACGCCGAGCATTAGTAGCAAACTAAATACGAATAGTGGTTAAAATTGAGTTTCGTTCGTTCAAACACATTCTATTTTGCATTAAAATCTTTTCATTCTGTTTATTCGTAGGTTTTATAGAAGATATAAGAAAAAGGATAAATATTATTTTATTAAAGGTATTGAAAATAATCTACGTTAAAGTAAATACAAATAAAACAAACTACGTTTATTGTTTCTTACAATCTTCATTTTATACCAAAAGTAAATACTGGCATTACTCAAGTTCAATATTATGTATATTGTATTTATGTAAAGTTTACTAATGAAAGTGGTCTGAAATTTACTGTTATTGTACCACAATGCTACGTCGATTTAAATTATTATAGGTATTAAAAGATATCCATTATTGTACGTAAGGCGAAATAATATTTTTTCACTGGCCTACACGCATTATATTTTCTTTAAAACGATAATATTATGAGGTTATACTATTCAAATTCAAAATAAATTATCGGTTATTATTATGATAATTGTTCTGTGTCATTTACGTCCGGTTCACCTATACTAATATTTGTGAACAAGTTTTTAAATTAATTTATCAAAATTAGGTTGAGATTGTCCTGAGGGAATAGTGTTTATATCGTTTCAATTGTTTTTTCTTTCTTCTTCGCATTTTTGTCTTTTTCCTGATCTCATCAAATGGTACCCTTGCATAAAGAATCCCGTGTAAATATTTATAACAATTCCGGGAGATCCGAAAAAAAAAATCGACAACAAGACAGAAAATTGGTTTTCCTTTTCCTTGCATAACTTTGTGTGAAATTCTCGTCATCACCGCACTTTACTTGCATACGCTTACACAAACACATACATTTATAAATCGTGCTCACACGTATACACTTTATTTATTTTGGACAAACTTGACAAAATTATGACAAGATAAATTTGGAATCAAAAGCGAAAACGGTCTAAAAAAAGAAAGTTTTTCGTCATTTAATGTGAATAGTGGTGAGATGTCAGTCTAACTGCTTATAAGAGACAAAAAAGAAACTGTTGTCTGATAGCGATCGCACGGATTTAAATTACACGGCACAATTTAACGATAACACGTTTTAGCCAAGGCGTGTTTTGACAAATTTTTGTGTTTGTTAGGGTTAGATTACTTGTTTTATTTTTGACCCTTAGACCACAATAATGCTACGACCGATAAGACAATATTATACATCATTAAATTGGTTTTATTAAAACAGGCCTTATTTTAACGAGCAAAAGGACCAAAATTGAAAAATAAAAAATATCAAAAATGCAGTTAAGTTCATTCACTATGTATTATACCAACTCGCAAGGGGCATTAGGAAAACGTAGATAATTTCAGAGAATCTCGGTTTTAATCACTTAAAACTGCATTTTTATAGATATATGATATCGAGTATGTACATTAAATAATTTATTGAAGGGATAATTATGTCGTCACATTCTACACACTTAAACATGTTTCCTGGTTTTCGTGTCACAATAAGCACCTGCACTGATTGACCAAAGAAAATCTGTACAGACTGTTGTTGAACATTTCCCATATTCTTTAGTAGCGGTTCTCAAATTGTGCACCACCGCGGTTAGGGAACCGCGAGCACATTTAAGAAACACCACGATCCAAGTGAAAATAAAACTAATATTTTTTTTATTATGCATAAAATAAGCTCATTGTAGTTTTCTGCAAAGCAACGTGACTAAAATTGGTTAAAAAGAAAGGACTCCGCCGAGTAAAAAGTTTGGGAACCGCTGTTCTATAAAGTAATTGTAAAGTATTTATGTTTATTCATTCTTATACTATTGAAGTATGCTAAACGGTTACCTTTTGTTTCTATATCGTGTGAGCTGATTATCAATAAATTATTTCCCATAAGCCTCCACCTATTTCTGCGATGCTCGTGTACATAGGAAAATAGACTAGGTCTGAAGTAGTGTAGAAAATAGCGCGTGGCTCAGCAAAACGGCATTGAACTTCTGTTACTATAATAATAATACATAATACGATATTGAATTCCATGTGTTATGTACACGGAAATGATGATATTGTATTTTTGACGTTGTAACAGGTGCGGCAAAGGGACCGTCAAGGACCTGTTAACAAGAGACCGTCGGCCGTTCGCGATTGTCGCCACGCTGGCCGCGCTACAGATGATGAGCGGAGCGAGCGTGCTGGAAGTGTACGCCGGTTCAGTGTTGTCCGGGTCACACATGTCAGAGACCGCGTGCGCAGTGATCCTGGGGCTCGTTATCGTGGGGGCCACTGTGCCATTCGCGCTGACCGTGGACAGGTACGGCCGGCGGCCGTTGATGATCATCTCGTGCTTCGGCACGGCCGCATGTCACGTAGCCGTGACCGTTTGCCTCACGCTGCGCACCGGTGACAACGACAATTGGCTGCCACTGTTCGGATCTGTGGCCGGCGTGCAGTTCTTCATCAACATCGGCATCCTGCCGCTGCTGGGCATCGTCCAGTGCGAGTACTTCCCGTCGGACACGCGGGCCAAGGCTGACGCGGCCGTTCTGCTGATCATCACGTTCTTGTCTACCGTAATGATCACCACTTATCAAGTGGTGGACGACATTTTCGGCGTGGCAGTCAACTTCGCCGTGTACGCGGTCGTGTCGTTCGCCGGTGGCGTGTTCTGCTACGTGGTCATGCCCGAGACTAAGGGCAAGTCGTTCGCCGACATACAAACGGACTTCCACCGGCGTGATCATCAGTTCGCCCGTGAGAAACGCCGTAGTAGCGGTACCGCGGACAATCGTGCCGTCGGTTACGTCTCGTCTAGATGCGATTACCAACAGATCTGAACAGCGCGCGTGTGTGTGTGTGTCATCGACTCGGTTCGTCTCTCGCGGCGGAGTGCGAAAATTCACACGGTCATTGCGCGCACTGATTTTCTCACCGTCGTCCCATAACATCCCCATCCTGGATCTATCAGTGACCCAGGGAAGGGAGAATTCGTAGAACTTACTCTTGATATTAAATATATGATAACATAAGCATCGGTTTAGACAACAGGTTAGACACGCTTTCGGAAAAGCTAAGAAAAAAAAAAATTAACACAAATTGCCCTATATCTTCCCCTATGCACGAGACAAGATCTGCAAGATATGTAGAAATGTTGTAAAGAACACTATGTATATCGTATTTTAAAACTACTGATATAGACATACGTGTAGCAGTTAACAGTAAATGCTGTCAGCCACACGTGGATGTCCGACGTTTTGTCATGACGGTTGTCTTAGTGGACTGCATATCGATGTGAAACGACTGGAAATCTCACGCGTTGGGACAAAACGTTGAAGAAACGCGATTGATGATTGCATTATCGTAACCAGAGATAGGGCCATATATTTACCATAGACTTATAAGTTTATGGGATTTACAAAATTACACTAACAAAAAACATTCATAAAATCTCTTTTATCGTTGATACCACCGATACAAGACATAATGGCATCAGTATATGAGCCGATAAAAATCTATACGACTTGCAGGGAATGTTCTTAGAAACTAGATTTTTTTCAGAACACTTTTTCGTGTCTTGCATTGACGACCACGCCGATATTATAATTGGTCATATTGTACGGTCAACAACAAAATAGTTTTCTACAACATTCCATACTCGATTTTGGAATTAATACGCTTGCAAATCAATCAACAACTTATCTACTTGCTTCATTAGTTTTAATTTTGACAAGATTTTTTTTTTTATCGTACCTTAAAAATGGTTTTAATGTTAAAAAAAAATTGTAAATCGACAGCCAATTGAAAATATTATAAACACTAATGTGCACGAATAATTATTATACAATTCCAAAGAAATTTTGTAAATATTTTTATTTAATGACAATTTAATTGGCTTATGTTTTTACATATACAATGTTATATTATGTTTATTGTAAATATATATAATTAAATTATGTAACTAATTTTTGAACGCTGTTACACGATTTGAACTTATTATAGTTATTTGTACAACATGCATATTTTTTAAGTTAAAACTTATTTTATTTTTTATTTTTTCGTTTGAAATTAATAAAATCAATTTTATTTTCACTTTGACGTGCACCGCAAAAAATCATATTTTTCTATAATGATTTAACATTATAGTATTACGTTCGTATTGTGTACACTCAGCAAAATCCATAAAAGCAGTAGCGTATTTTAGAACAGAGAGGGATCCTGGGTCTCGACCCCCTCAAAAAAAAAAAAAAAATATCATAAATGACTTGCTACGAAGATACAGAGAAAGAGAACATTAATTTATGTCATGTGATTGTAAATAACTATTCATTTGAATTTATAATAATAATATAATAATATAATTATTAATAAATGCCTTAAGTACATGTATTTCTGTATAATATTATAAAATCACTTATTTTTCAGAAAAATGTTAAACCCCCTCCTCCTACAAAAAATTTAATAATACGCCACTGTATAAAAATATTATACATATATATATATACATATAAAACTATTATCATATATTATAATACAATCTAATCGATTTACTTAATAAATAAAAAATCCATCTCCAAAACATCTACACTACCTGAGCTTATTTTACAACGTGGTAAACCATTTTATAATGATTGAATACAGTACTCAACACATTTCATCTATATTACGTTGTATATACGTATATAATATTTAAGATAAAATATATTCATTCCTCGGTGGAAATCTATCACACTGAGCGTGAATTTAAATGTAAAAAGCTCACGTTCCGTGTAAATAATCAATCCATCTCAAATTTCCAATCGCTAATAAACATGTATACGATCCTATATTATATCTTATCATCGTATCGTACACTCGTATATATATATTATCATTTATCAAAAGTTATCAATAACTGATAATTATTTCTCGTCCAAAAGATAATAATTAATCATATATTTTATACGTAGGAAAAAACCATAAATTGATAAATGTTAAATATTTAAAGAGCAAATTCCAAATTTAAAAACTTAATGCAAAATTTAATTTTAAGATGAAATTCATTTTGAAATTTATAAATTAGAATATTATCCGAAGAGTAATTAAACACGAATTAAGATTTTTTTTAATGTTAAAATAAAAGTGTATAGCTTACCCCAAAGTATAACTGAAAAAAATTATAATCATTAGCGAATATTTGAGTAAAATATTCTGTATGAAATATTCTGTATGAATATTAATTTTATATTATATTTCAATTAAGTGCGTTTTTATATTTTCGTCTCCCTAAATGTAATCTCATTTATTGTTTAGCCGTAAAATTTTAGTAAACATTAGTCCTATTTGTTGGATCGACCAAGTATCAACCCAACTATTTGACATCCGTACTTCACTGCTACAGGACTATATAATATGAATGCGTTGTATACACGTTCGAAATGCGTTTAACCTCTACTAATACATCATCACATCAACTTATTGCAATAATTCCAACAACTCATAACTCGACTAGGATTAAGCAATTTGAAGTCCGTAGGCACTTATCACAATATGGATAATTTATTTCATAAATGATTTAGCTAAACATACATAATATATAAATATAAAATGTACAATAATTTCATTAAAATATGTTTTCAATTAAATTACAAATATTATTAAAAATGTCGTGGTTTCCATTTGTTCGTAGATTTAGGCCTATGTAATAATACGACCCTTCTCACGACCAATCTATTGATTACAGTCCACGTTGGTTTTTTTTTTGTATATATATATGTATGTAACTTATATAAAAAATATAATAAAATATTAAGAATATAAATTATGAAGGTACAAAGGTGCCAACTTAATCATCATATTAGTTAATACCTATTAGCTTGTATAACACAGTTTGTACAATCCAGTGACCATTGTAACGAATAATAATTACAATAAAAAAATGTATATTTGTATAAAAATTTTATAGAAATTAATGTAATTAACATATTTTTAATAATATTGTATAATGTAACACAGTATAGCATACCTTATTCAATTATGTATTTTATCCGAGTAAAAATTACGCCCAGAGTATTCGTATATAATTACTAAATAACAATAAAACATAGTATACTTGCAAACAAACTTTACAGGCTATAAATATTATTTCATAAACAAATAGTATAGGAATCTGTACTTCACAATAATGATATACATTGCACAATATATATTAATAACGTACATTATATTTCATAACTCTGGGCTTAAAATTTTATTTATTTGGGTGCTTAAAACTTAATATTAACCATCACGATTTTTGGAATGAAATATAACATGATATTTTAATATATGCATAACATGATGTCTAATTGCATCATTTATACGTGTGTTCATATCACAGAATAATGTATTAGATATATTGCCATTTGTATAATTTATTATAATAAGTACACTGATTATTATAGGTGTATACTGAAAATGCATAATGAGAATTAACAAATTAAAAAAAAAAAAAACAAGATAAGTAATAATTGGACTGATTTCCCACGTAGTATTTTCAATAAAGATGATCACTGGTTTGAGCTGTTATCCTTGTGTATATACAATATAATAGAGAATAGTTATATTTCTATAACAATTAAATACGCCGGACCTGCGTTAAAATAATTTATTCCCTCAAAAAATAATTAAAACAGTACGATGGCAAATCAATATTTAGAGCATATTAAAAAATTCTGATCGAGATATAATATATTTCACTGTATTATTAATAATTGTTTTTTCCCGGTGTTCAGAGTCTATGTAATATTACACAACTGTTAAAAGTAGGACATATTTATAATCAGATGACTTAAACTGTTTTAATTTAATTTAATTTTAAATTTTGAAAACTAAGAAATGTAATAAAAATTAATTAACATATGACAATAGCTATTTCAAAAACTAATAATTAAATTAATTTTGATTAGCAGTTAAAGTTTAAATTTAGATACAGCATATTCATTAAACGACAATAGTAACCTATTATTAATGATTTTTTCGTTTAAAAAAATGAATGATTTTCTGTATTTAAACTTCCAATATTTCCAATAGACAACCGTATAGTTTTATTATAAAAATACCTTCAAACTACCCATTCATCACTGTATGTCATTTTTTTTATAAGCCCTAGATATTCAAAAATAATACCTAACTAAGCTTTAATCAAAATCGTTTTTGGAATTATTTTCAAAATTGTACAAATTACAGAAAACTATAGCATTACTACCTAAACGACATCATACAGGAGGTTCAAACTATACTATGCGAACAGTATTTTATTAATAATACTTTTTTTTTATAAATATTATTTAAACATTAATTTTAATTTTTATATTCGTATCAGGTTTTATATTTTTACTGCATTCTAATAAAATATTTGTTCAGCAATCAATAAATAACACTTTACAAATATATTTTCAATAAGATATAAGAAAAATTTAAAAACAGAAAATAAAAACTAAGCATTATCATGTAGATCAGTGATATAATATATTAATCTATGGAAGATATTATATATTTGAAATATTTGAAAACCAAAAATTTATAATAAATGTGAGGAAATAATTAATGAATATTTTATTATACATCATAATTCACTGTATACCTACTAGTATAATGTCGAAACGGGATAACTTGGACTTTGATAATTTAAATTATATTCTATGTCATTATTCATATATATTTTAGTGTTAATTCTTCTAGATAACTAAAATAATTTTTAATCCTGTTATAATTCAGGATTGAGTTATCGTAATTCAACTATGCTACCTTTAAAGATAATTTTAAGATCATTGCTAGTCGTAACACGTATTTTTAATTACTTAATTAGCTTTTATAAGATTAAAATCTATCAAAATGATTTTTTTTGATAGATAAAGCTTTTTATGATAGCAGTGAATAATTATAATTAAAAATATACATGACTAATTAATAATTCTTAACCACGTTTTTTGTGTTTCAGGCATTAGTTACCTACAATCTATATGCATGCATAGCAACCATCTTATGTGGTACATCATACATTGATGATAAAACTATAATAATTATATGTTTATTAAATAATTATTTAAACCATTTTTTTTCTCGATAATTTAGTCTTACAAAATTTGACTGTTAATTGTTACGATAAAATTCAATTTACTTTTATGAATTGAAGTTCAATTTTTTTTTTATTAAATAATATTCTATTATTTTTACAAGAGTTTTAATACTTTTTGTTTTTTATTTGTATTTAATATCAACCAAAGTATAGTGTGAGAACAATTAATAATAATTTTGGTTTTTTCGGTTCAACTTAAATCTCACAAACATTCATATTTTCTGGAAACAAATAAATTTAAATTAAAGCGAATGAATGTACTATACGCGTTTCTATAGTAATAAATTCAGTATTATCGAGAAAATATTTATTTTAAAATATAGTTAGTAAAATAATAAAAATTAAATTAAAATTAAAAATTAGTAAATGGTTAATACTGGTAAATTAAAAAATATATATATATTTAAATATAGGTCATATAGGTAATATCGATAACTTAAAATAATTAATATCCGGATATAAGATTAGATTTATTATCTAAACAGTATATTAGAGTAAAATCATCTAAGCTAACACATTATTAATTTTTCGTGACTTGAACACTATTCAATGATTTGCTCACATTTGATTTTCACAAAATTTCATTACGAGGAATACAACAGTCATTTAACATTAAAAAGTCTTGTAATTTTTTATATCATATTGTGTGATTTTTATCTTATTCGACTGACAAACTATACGGATTTTTTATTTAATGTTTAAGATTAACATTCTTTATTCGACGTGTTTATATACAGAACATTTTAATTAAGTTAGTACATAACTTCTTATGTGAATAGTAGCACTTAGAGCGGTTTTTCTTAAATAAAATTTTAAAAATATTATTACACCGTATTTTTCATACATGCTGTAACATAATTTAACATTAATTTTTACATAATTGGTAATATAATTTCAAACATTTTTTTTTATATCAACTACCACTCCGTCGTCATTGATAGTTCTGAATTTAAATATGACGCTAGAGAATCCAACGTACATTATAGTATAAATTATTATATGTAGATATCTATTATAGAGATTCACGTATATAGTGCGTTCACAATTAGTTTAAAGTAGAAGTAAGAGTTATTGGTTAATTCAAATCGTATTTGATTTTAACTATTAATATTTTTTTCATTATTATTAGCACATGGCAATTCGTTTTAATGGTCATAAAGTTTATTTGATAAATCAAAAGTTTTTTTTTTCTGATTATCTTTGAAAAATTAAAACATTGATAGTATTAATTAATAAAATAAAATATTTGATTTAATATTATATACGATAAGTTGTTGAACGTTCTATACATTTTTCAAAAAAGACTGAAAAATAGTATTATCATTGTGGTAGCATGATATTTTCCGAAAGCCGTGTCCACAATAAGCACAGACAAATGAGTACAGTCAACATAGATTTTACCAGGTGTAATAATATTTTTCCACCGTTCTCCAATTCGTGAACGAAACAGTTTAAACAAATTGCTTCTCACAGGTGAACTGCGTTTTCACTACTTGCTCTGTGATTGAAGCACCGATACACAAAAATACGGATAAAGACGGAAAGTAAACAAGTTCTTCGATTCGTTGTGTGTATGTATATAATTAATAATTATTACTGAATCCAATTCATGTTTCGATCGTTCATTAAATGGCATTGTGTAAACGCGACTTAATGTACAATAATTTAGCGATAACGAGAAGGTCAGTTCACTTGGTTGTAGATTACATGAACTAGCATAGCCGTTTAATTTTTAAACATTATTATTTCAAGTCAGTATTAACAAATCCGTACACCAAACAAATTCTATTTACCTATTCGTCTGAAAAAAAATTACACCAAAATCTCGCAATATTCCAATTTTCATTTACGAAATGACTCTTCTACCTGACGGTTTTTCCAAACAACTGTATTCATGTTTCATAGGTAGGTGTATTTTGAGATAATTTTAATTGATTTATAAATTTAAACACCTGGCCTTTACACCTGGCTGTTTTTTAAATGTTGTGTTTTGCACACCATTTTTATGACATAAATATTGTGTTTTTTATGATAAATTATAATTAATCTCGTGACATTCGTGTTTAAATATTAGTATCATTACCCCTATTGATGGCCGGGACAACGTTGGGATGGTCTTCACCGATGATGGAGTACTTAGTGAACGATAAATCGCCAGTTTATTTAACCTCGTCGGAAGAGTCCTGGATGGTGACTTTGATAGATGTCGGAAACGTTGTATTATCGATACCAGCCGGCCTAATGATGGACGGAATAGGGAGAAAGATGTCCGTGTACCTGACGGTACCGATAACGCTCGCCGGTTGGATTTTAATTTTAATTGCTGATCACGTAAGATAATAATCAAGATATTGTTTTCATAAAAATAATATTTTCGTCGAGACTTGAAACTCAACGCAATCCACCGATCCGTTTATTAATCAAATAATACGATCCGTACAACTATAATCTAGTCCTATTTAATTTCGACAATTACTAATAATAATAATTACGGTAATACAATTTTAACAGCCGACAATTTGAATACACTTATTGGTTATTACTTACATAGCATATTCAAATAGTTATTCGTCGAAAATAATATACATGCGCATGCAGTACACTTTGTATTATTATGTTCCATTATATCGATTTTATAGTTAATTCACAATGAGTTGTTTTATCGAGGTGATTTGAAACTTTTTTACAATCCAAAGTTCCAATCACAAAAATAGAATACCTAATCAAATCATTTTTTTATGCTGTATAGCCAACAATTCACCAAGATAAACTTACATTAAACCACTCGAAACTCGAATCTAAATTAATGTCCAGTGTTACGACAAAATCTAAGAATTGTAACAAGTCGCTTCTATGCCAATAACAATTAACTAAGTACAATATTTTATAATGGATAATATTTCTGGTACAATGTTCGAAACACGATACTCGATGGCTATTTACACGACTCCCAAACGGAAAAAAATTTCCCTACACAGTTCCTCCAAATTTTTTTTTTTTATTCAATGATGCGAACGATGTTTAAAATAAACATAAAATGCATGCCAAAACCGGGATACGAATTTCCCTCCCGGAAAAACAAGGCTAGCTGCGGGCTTTGGCTTTGGTCTGATCGTTGTACGCCAAGTGCACAGCGTGTCATTCGTTATACGAAACGTAATTGCTTTTTTGAAATTATATAAATGCAATTCGGAGACAATCAACGCAGTGCATTTTCTAAAAACATTCAGCCGTATAAACTCATGGTAACACGAGCAACTGAATAATTATTGTAACAATTATTGTAACGCATCGAGCCGATAGCGATTAAGTGCACATCATAGTAGATTGCCGGTATTTGTTATGTGATACAATATTTTATGCATTCGCAGGTATGGTATCTGTACGTTGCTCGGTTCTTGCACGGCTGCGCCATGGCCATATCGTTGATCGTGTCTCCGTCATACGTGGGCGAGATGGCGAGCATTTCGGTCCGAGGGTCATTGGCTCTGGTACTCGAGTTCACTTACGCCGCTGGCCTTTTACTGGCCTACGTCGTCGGGTGGTTGGCCGATTACGAAACGCTGGCCACGGTCTGCGCGTTAATACCGGTGATTACCGGTGTGCTGATGATCACCATACCGGACTCGCCGTACTACCTAATGATGGTAGGTAAATCTGAAGAAGCGGCCAGGTCGTTGAGAAAACTCAGAAGTTACGATAACGTGGAATTCGAAGCAGAACTGGAAATCATCAGGCTGTCCGTTACGGAGAACAGGTAATTATATTCCTCCGCTGATATTGTTTCAGACATATTCCAAGTTAGTCGACTTGTATGCTAACAATTTCATGTTATCCTATCAACTTTTTTTCGCCGCTGTATCATGACAACTACTTCCGATACTTAGCATACGTAAACATGCCATGAATATAATTATACAATATTATAATATATAGCTATACTTCCGCGGTTATAATTATTGTTTTTACTTTTTTTTTCTTATACCGTCGAATAATAATAAGCGTTTTTCTCGTTTCACGCAGTTGTAAGGGACAGTTGAGAGACCTTCTGCACAGGGACCGATCACCGCTGATCATCGTTCTGACGTTAGCCGCACTGCAAATGGTGTGCGGGGCCAGCGTGATGGAAGCATACGCATCGTCCGTGCTGGCGGACACGAGGCTGTCACCGAACGCTGCGGCCGTAATCTTCGGGCTGTTTATAATGGCCGCGTGCCTACCGTTCGCACTGACCGTGGACAAGTACGGACGGCGGCCGCTGTTCATGGTGTCGTGCGTGGGCACCACAGTGTGCCACGTGATCATAGCGGTCGTGCTGTCGATGGAACCGGACGAAGAGGGCCGGGTCGGCTGGCTGCTGTTGGCCAGCGTCTGCGGTGCTGAGTTCTTCATAAACATCGGGTTGATGCCGTTGCTGACCGTGGTCCAGTGTGAGTACTTCCCGTCCGACACCCGGGGCTTGGCCAACTCTGCGGTCGTGTTCACTATCACACTCACATCCACCGTCGTACTCAAGTTGTACCAGCCGGTCACCGAACTGTACGGCAAGCGAGCCAATTTCATCGGCTACGCGTTGGCCACGATGTTCGGCGGCATGTTCTGCTACCTATGGGTGCCCGAGACCAAGGGCAAGTCGTTCCTGCAGATCCAGACGGACTTTGAGACGTACGAGTGGCGCGACCACAAGGGCCACCGGAACCAGACCTACGAACGGTTTTAATTGCGGCGGCTATCATTCGCAATCGAGGTGTCCTTCGCAGTTGCTGACACGTGTTATTTTTCTCTACCACGTTCGCCCCTTGAGCTGTCGTACTCATAAACACACACACACACTCATACACACACAAATACTTAAATAACTATCCACCCCTGGGGGCAAAACGTCAGCTTGCACAAGTCGTCAAATTTTTCCCGCGTCAAATAACTCCTGCACAGATGTTTTGAAACACCGCTATGAAATGCAGTTCTGCTTTTGCACATTTTAAATTTGAAACTTATCGATTAAATCGTATTTTTTGAATAGCTGATCTGTTCGTCACTCGTAGAAACAAAAATCAAAACAATTTTTGAGGTGATTGAGACAAGGAGAAGGGGCTTTTCGTTACTCGTGGTGTTCAACACTCATATCGGTATGACAGGGACTAAAGAGGTGATTGATAGGTATACCGATACCTCGTGGCCGCTACAAAGATAAGTACAAAAGCCGCGAATATCTATGTAATAAATAACAAGAATCGAGAAGTATAATTAACGTTTTGTTATTAATATTCTATAACCGTTCCCAAACCTTAATCGAAATTTAAATCTTCGGGAATTTTAATCAATCATTTTTCATCGTCCTCATTCTTATTAAACACATTCTTTTATATACTTATGTGTACAAAAATACACGAAAATAGCGTTCTTATAAGTTTTTTTTTTTTGTATTGACACATTGATCTCACTTAGAAAAATAAATTCACTGTACAGATATGCTTTAGCAATAATATATTTAAAAATACTACATTTTTTAAGTTTGTCATGCATGAAACAAAAATCAATAAATTATTCAATACGATGTTTACAATGGACATAATTTTATAACACTAAATCGCCTCCATATTACACATACCTGTTAGCGTAACGAGAATAATATGTTATTACAATTGTATACTATATTATAACTATTGAATATTATTTAATGTTGAAATAATTGGTTTAAAGATCTATTTTTTAAAGATGTATTATAATGCAGACAAATTTTTTACTATCTTATAGAAATATTTGACGAAAATGTAAATTTAAAGCCTAAATCAATTTGAAGCTGACAACAAATGTATAGTAATTAATATTTAATATTTGTATACACATCTTAATTACTAACAATAATATTAATTAGCTTTGTATTTAATTATCAATTAAGTAAGTGTACATTTATAATATATATATATATTATTATTATTATTATTATTATTAATTTTATTGTTAGTTATTATACATTATTTTAATGTACCTATTTAATTAGAAATCATATTTTCTATGATATAAACTATTTCAAATCTATGAAACATTCTTATTGACATTATAATATACTTAATTAAAAATTTAGGAAATTTATGATTATTTCTGTTTTAGTTGAATTTTTCCATTAATTATAATAATAATAACGTGTATGATGAGCAACTAGTTGAATGTAATATATATTTATACAATTATTATTATTATTTTATTTTTTATTAATGATTAATAACAAACGATTGGGATTATAATTGCAAATGTCTTTAAATTGATGAAAATTAAATTAGTTTTCATTTCAAATTGTATTATTTCAAGCACATATGTTACAAATTTTTAAAGTAAATTTATTACATACATTTTATATTCAAGTAAAAATATTATATTATTTGATATAATTGCAGGTTAAGTATTCTAAATTTAATATAATATTGTTATTACATTGATTTATTTTTATCACTAATAATTATAATTCTAAATTTGATTAAATTGAATGTATTAAGATTCATGTAGAAAATCTAAATCTTTAAAAAAACATTATTTCTACATTGATTATATGGTATTTTAAATTTAAACATATTTCACATAAGAAGCATTATCACTGCTATAAGTATCATTTTATAAATTCAACATAATCTAAAGTAGTTTATATAAGATGTATACATTTGATAATAAGCAATATTTTAGATTTTAATTACGTCATCACAAATTGTGAAAGAAAAAAAATGTTGCTAGTATTATAAATAAATATATAAATATATTTCAAATGAAAATTAAAACTAAATAGAATTGTTTACTTTATCATCAGTAGAGCGCGGATTTGTATGCACTTCAAAGTATTGAAATATTCCATATAATATGTAGTAAAAATCATGAAAATATGCAAAAAATATGCAGTCAAAATTATGAAAATATGCAAAAAAAATATGCAAGAATTTTTTATTTATTTAAAATGTATAATTCAACTTATAATAATTAATTACTTAAATACTTAATACAAAAAATTTAGGGAATTTTCTGAAATTAATTTATTTTTAAAATTTTATTTATTATTAAAATGAATAATCAAATGCATTTCAAGTTTATCTTTTGTGAAGCTATGTCGTTTATCGGTTAACACATTTTTAAAGACTGAAAACGAACATTTGAAGTCAACCGAAGTTATTGGGGCATATTTGAAGCAAGTGGTATGTCGATAACCGACTGACACAGCAAGAGCGATTAAGTTTACGATGTAATCAATTATTTATTTTATAACTAAATATATATATATATATATATATATAAATTATTATTTAGTGACTATGAAATTTAGTTTTAATTTTTCTACTTGACAAAATATTATTTTATACATTTTTTTTTAAATTTTCACTTCAATATGCAATAAATTTTGAATTTTGCCAAAATATGCAAAAAATATGCAATAACCTCTAAATATGCAGAAATATGCAAAAAAAAATGTCACCATTAGCTTCAAATTATGATGATTCGTGGAGATAACTGACAAAAATCCAAAAGTATTGAAAGGAAAAAAATATGCAATTGCATAGAAATCCGCGCTCTAATCATCAGCATAAATTATTCAAGTAGTTTATTTCTACTTTAGTAACATTTATATAAGTAAAACGAAAAAAAATAAATGATAAATTAGTAGAATTTCATCAATAAATTAAGTAGATTTAATTAATTATTACATATTTTGATTCGTAATTTTAGTAAATTATATATTTTTTATGGATTTGTTTCAAAATTAATAATTTTCAGCCGAGGAAATAGTAGAGGGATAAGATGTGAATACATGATTAAAGGCAAAAGAAAATAGAACATTTGCATATCTAATGAAATTCTTATCAAAAGTAACTTCAGAAATAAATTTTAACTTAATTCTCATGATTTTAGCAAAAAAACATAGGAACTATTTTATGTTAAATTTTTACTAATTGTTGCAGAAAAATACTATCGTAAAACTTACGATATTATTAAGTTAAATAAAAAAAATTTTATAAACTACTATTTAGAAATGACATAGTAATTATTTTGTTTAAAAAGTATTATCAAAAACACAACAAATGTCTGCAAATACATAGTACTCGTATTATACATTTAATGAAAATAAACAAATTTAAGTATAAATGTGAAGCTACTTAATTTCTTTAACCTAAAGCTAAAAATAAAATTATTTTTATATAACCTATGAATTCGATAAATAGATATAATATACCTAAATCAAAGCTACAGTTAAATAATAATACTACACGCCTAAAATATTAAGTAGGTAAAATGTAAGTTATTTTTAAAATTGTCAAAACGAAATATTTTCTATTTTATAAGTGTCTAATACAAATACACACAAATTCATCTTTATGGTAATAATAATAACTTCTTCTTCTTCTTCGATTTTTAAAGCCCTATAAGGCTTATTACCGCAACACAAATCAGCTTCAGATCACTTTATTTATTTTTTAATAACAATAACTAATAATAATAAATCTAGTAATTCTGTAATGATATTTTATAGAGTTGAGATATTGAAAATGAAGTTATAAGAAACATATATCTACATTCTACATATATTTTTGTTCATTTATATTCATGTAATACGAATACGCAAAATAATTTTATTTATCTTCTTTATTGATAAGAAAAAATAGTTATTAAAATTTATATAAAACAGTTTTCTAACTATAAACACTCTATTAATCTAACAACATCAATATGCCTACATTTTACCTCATTAACTCAATTACATTAACCTTGACGTTGATATCAAACGTTTTGATTGTTAACATTGATCAATACTGTCTTAAGGTATTCAGTGATTCTCACTAGAGTAAACAATATAAGATTCTCGTAAAATACTCAAGAGATCTAGTACAAATAAATGTATTCGTTTGCACATATTGCACAAGTGTATAGTTTAATTACTTTAGTAGAATCTAGACAAAAGCAAAATCCAATATAGTCTGTAAAGTTTTAATTCTACCTCGTAACGAAAAAATAAAAAAAAACATTTGGACAAGATTTACTAAAGAAAACATAATGTAACATGATCCGCCCAAATAAGTATTAACATTTAAATATCGAACAAAATGAATACATAGATTTTACATAGATTGTAATGTTGGTCCGATGAGAAGGCATTTGTATTCTTTATATTTTATTGAAATAAAATAAAACTTTTCCTGGGTCATCAGTTGCAAAAATACTATTAAAAATTACTAGAAATAATTATATTTAAATTAATGTTAAATAGTAATAGACTTATTTTAAAAATTAAATTAAAAAGAAAAAATATATTTAATAATTAAAGGTAAATTACGTAATAAAACAATTGAAAATAACAGTCTACGAGTATACTCTACAGTGTCTACACAGTTATGCTTAGAAATTTAGAATGGAAAAACTACTTTATTAGCATATATTTCATGTTGATGGTTAATGAAATAATAATATATTTAATATATTTAACATATTATTATAACTCATTAAAATAAAAAAATATATAAGAATATGCAAAGTGAAAATTCGATATTTTCAATACAGATTTTATAAATTGAATATCGATCTAAATAAACATAATAAGGAACCGCTCAAAATTGCGAATTTATTAATACCTTAACCTTAGACGGTTAAACTAATTATAAATGAAAAATTAAACTCTCAAGAATTAAAATTTCTTGTTATATACAATATTATTATTATAATATGTACTTTCTTATATGTAATTATTTTTTTTAAACAAATATGATTCAATAACTAGTATAATAATGAAAAAATAGTGAAATTATATTACAATGATCTTATGAAATTAAATTTTGTGACATTGTACTTTTACTTCATAAATTATTTATATTTTTTGAATTTAATATAATTTTTAACTCATTGGATTAGATTATTGCGATATAAATTATCATAAATAATGAAAAAATACATAATTCCTTTGAATTTGCTAATAAATTATTTCAGTAAGTACAGGCTTTTAATTTAAGAATAATTAATTCGACTCTTCATTGCAAATCTAATCATTGCCGTTTAATCTATTTATATCTTTATTAATACATCTTTGAATGTTAGTTTTGAACAACATCCAAAAGACAAATATATACAGAAGAAGGTCCATACATAACACGAAATTTAACAACTCGAAAATGTCTGCAATTCGTAAGAAACATTTTCCTTAAAATAATCTAAATATTTATGTTAACAATTTTACAACTCGTAAACTTTATAAATATTTTTAATGACATAACATACTATATTATAGTGTTAGGTTAAAGGTAGTGATAATAATAAGAAAATATCTATAAATTACCTAATTAATTATATCATGCATTGTAAACGAAAAAATACTTTTAGTATAATGCGAAATTTAAAAAATAAAATCAACAACAAAATTCGTTAATATTAAAATATAAAATTAAATTACTACTGCAGAGGGATTTAACTTATATTTTATCAGTTCCGAAAAATTTCTCCGTATCCTATCAGTAAGCTTAATTCATCAGTGGAAAATTGTTTCTTTTGCAGACGTATATTTGTCATTACAACTTATTTCAATCTGAATGCTAATAAGATGGGTCTTGAAGATAAAGAAACTTTCAATCTTTTTATTTTATTAATATGCACTGGAATAATTTTTATGAATGGAAATTCGTCATTTATTTATTCGTTTTGTACACATCATTTCTAATAAATATAATGGCATTGAAATATTTTGAAAGTCAATCTAAAGAAAAATATTATTATATTAATTTAATTTGAAATACATAATTGATAAATGTTTTACAAACGTTATACTTCAAATAGAAATAATTATTAAAAGTTATTATATTTGCTTACAATAAATTATTGAATATCTCGTAGTAGTATTTGTCGATATGAAAGAAAGTATCAATAAATGTTATAAAACAAAAACCTCAAACAGTTTAAAGAAATTGAATAAATTTAAGCATAAAAAAATTATCTCTGAATTATATTAGTTTCATGAATAGATAGAGAGGGAAATTAAACCAATGTAATCAAAACAGCTTTATAGGTAGAATAATTCAATTTAAAATCGTCCACATGGTTGTACTCGTATACCAATTAGTTTATTATCGTAGGGCCTGTAGTAAGTTGTCGTTGACCTAATACGTTACTAAATACGAATATTTAAATTATAGATACACTGTTTACAAAATCCATGCCAAATACTTAAGTTGGTATTTCTAAAAATATATATTAACAATAATAAAACATCAGCGACAAGGTACTTCAAAATATTATCAGTTATATCATAATGCATGCCAGTACAGTCCGACAAATATTAGCATCGTTTATTAGTAAGTACACTTTTAACGAAGTTTTTTTGGTTATACATACATATATACATATTAATATTTATTTACGTCTCACATTTTTTCTTTTTTTTTACCTTCATAAATAGCAATAAGTACGTCCGTCCAAAATTGACGATAAGTTAAATATTGTTTGCAAACATTTCATACTATTTTTTCTTCGAAAAAAATTACAAAAAATGTTATGTCATAGTAACCATTTAATATTTTAGAACAAACATAAATTCTTTAAAAAATTATTTATACTAATATGTTTTGCAGAAGAAAATATATCAATATCAATTATTTTGAATGATTCGAAGAACGTTGAATGTTAAATAATTAAAAAAATAATATTTAAATACAATTTAACAAAATATTAAAATATTTTTGAATGAAGTTTTTTAAAATGTTTACCATATTTAAAACTTAATTAATTAATATTAATAATTAATAAAAAATTTAACCACGAATAACAACACGAGTATACTTGTTTAACTATCATTGATCTAAGTTATCTTAATTCATCTACTTGGGTGATACGAGGGAGGGGAAGGGTTTATTGTAGTCGAGTATTGAATGTATTTTAAAACAATATGTTTATTTTATAAATATATTATGCAACTATATTTATTAATATAATTAGAGCCCGGAAGTTCATTCATTAGCACGTGTTTATACAAAATGGGCCAAACAATTGCTAAATCAGCAATAAATTCAAATTACACATATATAAACTAATCCAAATAAGACATTATTTCGTAAAGGTTTTCATTTTTTTTTATTTATATGTTCAACAAAATTGTTGACATTTACAGCATACAATCTTCTTCTTCTTCTTCTTAGGCTAAAAACAGACCATTTAGGTCTAATGCCGCTTCTACAATACCTCTCCAATGCATTCAATACAACATACAATACAATTATATTTATTAAAATATTGAAAATCATTTATTGTAAATAAATTATTCCTAAGATACTAAAAGATATATCTTCTCAGTTAAAATCAAATATGTTTATTATATATTTTATTAATCAATAAAATATAACAGTTAAGCAAATTAGTTTACACGTAAATCAAATGTTATTCTTTTTGATTATTCATTAACTATTCAAAAGGTATTTACTAAACAATTCAAAGATTAATCTAAATATATATTAAATTAAATTTTCATTCACTCATTAACACATTGCTACATCTTAAAGACTACAAAATGTATGAACTTAAAGTTTGACATAGTGGTTTCAATAATACTCTATATGTGAATTAAGAAAATTCAAGGTATTGTTAACCGCATTTTAAAATGTTGAAACCGATTTGGGCGGGTTATAATTTATAATACTTATTGGTCACCTAGGAAATATTTAATTTACTTAAATATTTTATTTTTAATAATTACTAATTCAACTAAATAGTAGTATTTTTTAGTCTAAAATAGTAAAATATCCCCTATACGAAATTATTCAGTTAGTAGCCTTGTAAAGACAATTATTTATAAGAACTTTAAATTAAACCATAATTGTTTAGAGCTAAAGGGAGTATGTTAAACTAATTACATTGCTACTCAATTTATATATTGAACCCTTACAGCCTGGCATATAATATTAATTTTTTTTCACAAATGTCATGTACAATGTAAAAATAATTGTTGACACAATATTTTACTATGAAATTTTCTATACTTAAACTCTAGTCATCAAAAAGTTTAGAGTCAACCTTACAGCCAACGTAAAAATGAAATTATATTCGATTACTTCATTAAAGAAATTACTTCTGTCTATAAATACATTTTTCAAAATTATTAATTAGTCATATTATCTACATAGCGGCAGACGGAATAATTAATTCTATGTTGTATATGTGAAATGTATAATTACTCTAAATATTATATTTTATCTTTATTATTTGAATCACCAGTTGAATTTTTTTTTAAAGATATTTAATCTAATGTCCACCTGATTTAGTAGTACTAATAAATAATAACAGGATATCATAGAAACAATAGTTAAATAGATCATCGTCATGGATGTGTTATCAAACATTATATTAACATACAGCCGTATATAGATACACCTTACAGTCAAAAATAATGATATGCGTTTGTATAAAAAACACAACGAACCATTTTAAGATAGGGTATTTATAACTTTAAGTAGTATTTGTGCATTTAAACTAGAATAATTATATAATGAGTCACAAATTTTTGCAAAATAATCTCGAAAATGTTCAAATTTTTTTAAAAGATAATAGTAATGGCAAGCCAAAAGTAACGAGTGAGATATATTTCGATTACGTGATTCACTAAAAAATGTAATGGTAAACTATTGAGTGTTTCCAGGGTTTCTGTCCACTAATAACAGACCAGTCTCTCACGGGATTGCGTGTATATTGCTCTGTACATTTTTTTCCGTGAAAACCTATATTATATATTGCATGATAATAAATTAATAGTTTCCTCGCGTTATGCGTAGCAATTGCTTAGCAATTGAAACAAAACAAGCTGTAAATTACTACTGTTATAAATTATACTATTCATAAGATATCAATAATAATAATTATGCTCGATGTGTAATAACTTCAACGCTATTGATAAACAATTATCTTCCAATAATCGTATGAATTCGAAATTATCATCATGTTAATTTGTTTTTAAATCTTATCAATTAATATTATATAAATATATGTGATATTTATACAAAGTATTTAACGCATTTTATAAAATTCTAAAGTTTACTTCATCTTTTTGTGCTTAACCTTGCATTTAACAGCTATAATTTTCGGTAGCTGTTAAAAATCCTATATTTGTATTTGTTTAATTATCTTATTTATTTAGACGTGTTAATAGTTTATTAGAAATATAATCGTCAACAAGATTTTTAATATCATGCAGTTTTGTCTTTTTGATCTAAACATCAATTAAACTTAGTAAACATTCATAATATATATATACATTTCTATCATTTTTAACTGACATAAAACAAATTACTTAGTCATAACTTTAATGTTGTATGGAAATAAGTGTTTCGCGTAACCTCAAGTAAAATGTTAGTATAATAAACATGAGAAATATTATAAACTATTCTCAGTGTTCAATTTTATTAAGCACATCATATATGTATATAAAAATATGCAAGTACTGAGTACAATTAGTAGCTTATAACGTATGTAACGTACCAATAACTGAACGAATTTCATTATTAATAATCCCTACTTATTAGTTAACTATCTTGAACAAAACACTGGGAAGTGCTTGTGGAAAGTAAAATTATAAAAATAGCATCCAGACCTAACCAACCTAACCTTAACCTTAACCTCGTCCAAGTTCGAAAGCTCGGCAAAATATTATTATTACCATTATTATTCCGTCCCGATCGATCAAAGTTAATATATTATACATTATTATACATATATTATATATTTATACAGTCAGTAGTGTAAGCACGGTATCATATCCAATCGAGCTTTATTTTTATATACTCAAAAGATAATGTTGTGTATGGTAATAATATACCCTCAAATTCAATACCCTTCGATATCCACGTCGCTCGATTTCATTGATATTTTATAAATTCAGATTGCAAACTATTTTCTAGTCGCACAATGTGTGTCCGATCCGTTATCAATCCGTTGTTATCATGGGTATATTATTGTTCTATAAAGGGACAATCAACAAGGAAAATATCCATACTCATTAAGAAGGCAAAATCAGGATATACACATATAACAACCAATACTAGATTTTATATTTTTTATTATAACTCGTACCTTTTTTCGCAGTTATTAAAAAACTGTTGGAGAATTCGTAAAATTATTTCCCTCAAAGTAAATAAAATTCATCAGAAATCGTTAATGAATGTGATAGTGGAGCAATCTTTCAGATCGAAATCGTGTACACAAACACAAAAAAACATACATCATGGTATCCTAGTTCACTCGGAATCTAAAAAGTAATACTATGATAGCATATCATATGATATTGATTATTTCGATTTTAACCTGTCGAATAAACTTGGATGGTATTTTTGAAAACTATTTTACACTGAACAACAAATACTCAATGACTGTATATTAACAAAGGTCTTACTCGTGAGTCAAGAGGCAGAATATTTTTTTCTTATAGTATTCACACAATTTCGAACGAATAGGTGGAAATGTATTGAAACATACTTAAATATACTCAAACTTACTATGTGTATTATCTTCGCAACTCAACTGTTGACGAAACCCATAACAACTTCACAATTTTATTCTCACACAAAAGAAAAACTAATGGACAGAAGGCAAGGAAAGGGAAGTTCCAATCGAATATAAAATAATTTTCCCCTATTCATACTACTCGTACACCGCTATACTACGACATGGTTTTCTTTTTCATCCGTGTATTATTATATTGCAGTAACGCTGTCGGTGCTAATGTCGGGCACGTTCTTCGGGTGGCCGTCACCGGTGCTGCACTCGGGGAAAGTGCCAGCCAACATGACGTCGGCGCAGGAGTCATGGATGGTGACGTGCATCGAGATCGGCAACCTCCTGCTGCCACTACCCGCCGGCTACCTGATGGACGTCGTCGGTCGCAGGACGTGCCTGGCCGTGTCCGCACCGCTGGCGCTGGCCGGTTGGGCGCTGATTCGGTTGACCAGTGACGTGCGATGCCTGTACGTGGCTCGCATCCTGCACGGTTGTGCCATGGCCGTTGCGTACACCGTATCGCCCGTATACTTGGGCGAAATAGCTGGCACGGACTTGCGAGGCTCGCTCAGCCTGTTCTTCCAAGGAATGAACTCTTCCGGCATACTGTTTGTGTACATTGTCGGCTGGATGGTGACGTACAATGCACTAGCGGTCGCAATGAGTGCGGTATTATTATTATTTATCATCGTTTCCCTTTGTCCTTCGTTATTTTTGGTCATCATCGTTGTACGCAATCTTATATTGCAATGTTACTTAAATTTATTTAAATCACGGAACACCAAACAATAATATTTTTTATACAGAACCCCCATAACAATTGTCTTCAATAAAGGAAGGTACACAAACACATAGCGATAAACGATAACAGTACACTAAAATACCAACACAGCACAATGTAATTAAAATATTTATTTAGGAGGTACTCCAGAAGTAGCATTATATCTAATTTTAATAACAAAAAAAGTTATAATAAAATTAACACATGAATCTTAATTGGATGGAAAAGCATCAATGTGACTACAAATATTATCAATAATTGGAGTAATAATTGTTAATGAAAGTCTTAGTGTCAGCATCAAAGTCAACCTATTTCGATATTTATTCATGGTTGCAGTGATTGCTGAGAATCCACATAAGTACATTAAAAGAAAATGAAATAGCATGCTCAATGCATTTTAACATTTTGTAATCACACTGCATTGCACGGCGTTGCGTCACTCGAACAAAACACACAGTAACGCAAGACACGGTCCCGTTGAACTAAACCGTCATTTTATGTGTTATACTCGTAATTAAGTGAACACGTGCCACGTACTAATTTTTATCGACAGTCGTTTTTCGAATTTTCTTACATTGTAGTACAAGACTCTATTGAATTATATATTATTATTAACTGTTCATTTCAAACTGTAATTAAATAATATGTAATAGTAAAATACAATAATATTTTATAAATGTGCTCGTCTAACATGACGACTTTTTCCCATTAGCTACCTCTGATCATTATATTTTTTCAAAGTAATTTTTTTGAATATTTTGAAATAAGCACTTGAGTTTCGTAGAACGTGATATCCGAAGTACCCTTAGGTTCTGCGAAACAAAGTTTAAGAAACACTGAAACAACAATAGTAATATATTGCTTCCGCGTATTCACTTTTCCCGTAATGTAACACCATCTAAACCTGTTTTCTTTCACCGAATCCATCATTTATGTACAATACTCGTAATAAACAGCATAGGGTATTTGTGACATTGAGTCAACAATTTATAAGGCCAACGAACATCGGACTGATTATCATATCCGTTTATCAAAGGTTTGATATTACAAAAACTGTCTTAGAACTGTCCAATAGAAAATTTTTTATCATGTTTTTTGACACATTTATTATAAAAACAAATTTTACTAAATTTTTCTATGTAGTTAATTTTTATTAAATTTTATTATTTTATCAGTTCCGCACAATCCAATTATTATACACAAAGTTTAATTTCTTCGTAAAATTCCATAACAAACAACTTTGATAGTTATTGACTCGATTTGAACAATTTCAAATCGATATTCTGTATCATCCGTCGCACTATTATCTCGTACAGTTCAATATACAAACACAAGTATAAGAATAACATTATTGTACAAACATTACGAAATATATTGTTATGTCAGTTCACAAGTTATCGGCTTCGTTACCCATACCTAGAATATATTTATATATATATATATATAAAAGAGTTATTGTATCATCTTTGTGCGTCCGAATTATAAACTAATTTCTTTCTAATCTACGATTAGGTGCCGACGTCATTGATTATACTGTTGATATTCATACCAGAATCACCTCATTACCTGTCGATGAAGGGCGATAACGACGGAGCGCTCAAATCGCTGTCGTGGTTGCGGTCGTCCGACAACGCAGCAGAGCTAGAACACGAAGTACGGTCGATGGCGACGTCTTCGTCCGGGGTCGGGAACGCGGACAGCCTGTTGAAAACGTCCGGCCGAGCGTTGGCCATCGTGCTGGTCATGGGAACGTGCCAGATATTCAGTGGCATCAGCGCACTCGAGGCATACGCGTCCACCGCGTTCAAGGGCGACTCCAAATCCGGCGTCGGCGATAGTGGTGACGGCATGATGACCGCCGACGCGTGCGCCGTCATGTTGGGCCTTGTGGCGCTGTCCAGCGACCTGCTGTCCGCCGTGATCATAGACCGTTTTGGCCGGCGACCGCTGCTACTCGTCTCATGCATTGGCTGCAGCATCAGCCATGCGGCTGCTGCGTACGGCCTGTACCGCGGCCGCCATGAGCTGTTGGTGCTAGCCACGCTGGCCGGCGCCATGTTCTTCGCCAACACAGGGATCATGCCGCTGGTGACCACAATCGTGTGCGAGTACTTCCCCACCAACAAACGGGCGCAGGCCAACGGCATCACGCAACTGGTAATGACCATCGCGTCGCTGGTGTCGCTGAAGATCTACCAGCCCATTGCCGACGTGTACGGCGTGCATATGAACTTCGCGCTGTTCGCCGTCGTATCCGTGTTCAGCGCGGCGTTCGTATACCGCTTCATACCGGAGACCAAAGGCAAGACGTTCAAGGAGATCGAAATGATTTTCAGCGAAAAGAAAATCGCTGCGGATAGTGACGGCGGCGGTGGCCACGTGCTCTGCTGCTGTTGACGTGTCATTGTTGAGACGTGCCCCAGGCGAATTCCGCTCACGTGAATTAGCTGCACGAGCTCTTTAGGAATTCGTCTCGGGTCCAATCGAATCTATCCTTTGCGAATTCCTTTGCGTCAAACGAGCGAGGCACAGGCCGCATCTCAACCGATAATCGAGAAACGGCTAAACAATTTTCAACTGTAATACCCACGAAACGAATGACAAGATAAAGCACATAAAACTCTTGACCCGTGGTGTAATCATTCACGTCATGTATACATTATACTATGTATTTCTCGTGTGAAAATGCTCAGAAAAAGTTACGGTCGAAAATTTCATCGTATTTAACTTGTATTTTTTTTTTATTAACGTCCAAAACACGCTCGTTCAACTTCGATAAACAAATCAAATCGATCACCAGTTATAATAATTACACATATCAAATTTATCATCAATTAGGTACATTTTACACCAGTGTATATTATTTTAACAATGAAACTTGTCTTTAAGGATCTCGTCTATGACCGCGCATACTTGTGTAGAGACAACCATTTTTCTGCAAACTGATTATACACGCAAACGTACCGTTATAAAACGAAAACTTGTGGAAACTTAACGTTTTTATTGGTCCCAAACGGATTCCGACTAAAGACAAGTTTTGCCGCATACATATATTAGTATACCAATACACGGATTACTCACGATGTGTTAATGTTTTATTTAACACCAACACACAACGTGCATTTTATTAATTACGTTTATTTTGTCCATTTTTTATTTTTACTATTTATTTTGTTTATTATATACTATAAAAGAAAAACATTTTTTTTTACTCACGTTCTTGTTCTCAAACAATACATAACTGACTTGAATTTATTTCAAATCTTTTGAGCAATCAACTTAGTTTTCCCAATCAATTGGAATGTTGCCAAGATAAGAATTTTACACTCCAAAGGGATACCATTTCACCTGGAAATCCGAACTTCTAAAGCCATTCCGAGAAACATAGTGCGGGCCAAATGACTTGGCAAAATATCTTGATATAACTCACACTTCACATTTTTTATCCACCTAAACAAAATGAAAAACAATAAATAATTGATAATCAATCACGGAACGTTTACGCTGCCAAATACTATATACTGCATTTATAAGTACACATATTGTCTTAAACGATTACATTTGACTAAAAACTCAATATAATCATGCACTTCAAGTATAATATCGAATAAACTGGCAATGCCGTTTATATATTTTAAATTAGATTCGAGATCATATAAAATGCACATTTATGTATAAATTATTCAACTTTTAAGTATTTAAATCATTCACAAAATTTAAAATCAAATTTATTTTTTATTATCAAATCAAATTTAAAATTTAAATCATTCACAAAGACTTTTAAAATCGATACGATGGTCATTTTTAAACTATTAAAATTACCATGATTTGAAAAACTTTAGTTTGAAGAATATATTGGTTTTACGGTTATGTTATTCGTTCCAATTAATTTATTTATGTTATAAAAACTAAATCAACAATTGTACACAGTATCTCATTATAACGAAAATTGAACACGAAAAATATTTCATAAATGTGTCTTTTGAGTAGTATTTTTAGATACAAAGATAAGCCAAGAAAACTGTAAAATAAATTTAATTTCTTTGAGTAACGAAGTTTTTTTATTCATATTTATTTTGTTATTTATGTTATTTATTTAAAGACGTTGAACGATATATTATAAGATTTTTTTTTTATTAAATTTTAACTATAAATTATATCTTAAGGATCTTGAATGTCCTAAAAAATAATACTAAACAATTATTTTTATATTATTATTATTTTTTTTTTTTTAGTTATTTTTATTTTATTTTTATTTAATATTAATATAATGTGAAATAATTATATTTATTGTATAATTTTTATGGAGGAAAATTAATTAAACTATTTTGTTAAATTTTTTAGATTATAATCTACAAAAAACTATATGAAAGTTATCAATAATAACTATAATAAGTATGGCCATCGATCATATAATTTTAAATTAAAGTAAATATTTTTTTAAATATTTTGTGTTCATTTTTACTTAATAATTAAAAATGTAAAAGTATTTGTATATTTGTTTAATGTTATATAACATATCATAATGTTAAACTTTTAATCATATCATAACTTATTTATTCTTAATTTTTTATATAAATATGTTACTGTGTATAATATATAGGTATACTACATATGGCTAAATTATCACTATTATTGTTACTATTTTATTACATATAAACACTATCTAAACATGTACATTTAGTACTATCTATATCTATAAAACATTTCATAGTTAAGTGTACTAGTAATATAAATTAGAAATGTATTTGCAAATTATACAAATAATTATGTCTATTGTATCTACACAATAAAGTTTATACTAAGATAAAACCCTTAAGTCACACTATTCACTGTGTAGTACATTATGTATTTGATAAATTGAATGTACGTACGTGTATGATCTACATAATTAATGTACATAAACCTAAAAAATATTTCTTAATATTTTTGACCAAAATATTTGAAATGTTGTAATATTGTAGTATATAATAGTAATAATATAGGCGAACATGGAAAATCTGTTTGACATAAATTTATTTGTACATAGGTACATGGTATATGGTATATGGTATACACATGTTATGAACGAAGTTAAATTACTTTATCTGCGTCCATACCAGTTATATAATACAATACCTATATGGCTGTATATATATACATACATTACATACGTACACGTACATAATAATTTCCCGTGAGTATAAATGTGATTCGATTAGTTGACGAAATTTCACAAGGTCAAATAATAACACACATACACACTCCAGAGTCGTAAGTGTACGGGCATACATACGGTATGTGCTCGTATTTGTAAAACCCGCGGAGTAGGTAACCCCGAAATGTTTACCGGGGCAAAGGGGGGGGGGGGCAAAGTACACACGTGCGCACACGCGCGCACATGTGAAAACAAGTGTACATGTACTCGAATCCGATGTGTACGAACACGGCGAAAGTTGTGTACCGGGGCTAAATGACGCGCGCTGTTTGCACTATTAACATTGTATGAAAATTGATAACGTCTCCTTCACCGTTCACCCTTAATCGCGATGCCAGGGTAAAGAGGCGTCGGCAAAGCTTACGCAATTCGTTATCTGAATATTTCTCTTTCACCCCCATCCTCTTTTAGTCTGTACAAACACCGAATTTAACCCCAGAATGCAATGATGACAAACGGGTGTACCGCGTGCGCACACTCGCCAAACTTACGTATGTGTACACAATGTAGACTATAGTAGTACATGTACATACAATGTGGTTTTTTTCATACTAAACACAATTGTTTTCTTCATTAAGGTATTATAAAAATATATTTTCAATAACTCGTAGAATAATGGTGCACACTATCCAACTCCTTAATACTGGAAACATTTTTCTTACTTACTAACTATACCGGTTCGATTTATATTTGACAGAAAAATATTCTACTTCGGAATACAAAATTCATTAGAAACCTAATATACTTTTATTTAGAAAAAATTTAACTGTAATATATTATTATCATAAAATAGAACGGCAGTATAATTCATTTTCCAACAAATATTTTATAATATTGACTTTATGAAATATAAAAAAAGAAATTTCAAATTATTCAATCTAATCGAAAATACGAGTACCCGTCAATGAAAGAGTGACCTTGTACGTATACAAATATTAAATATAATATACCATGTTACATTCGCACAACCGCGGTCGGCGACAATCTAAGTAAACGAAAAACAAAGAGCCACTCCGCCAAAGACACAAAAACATTCGATTACTGTCGTCCTTGATTCACACAGCACGCAAACTTTTTTGCAACGTTGTCGTAAGGGCTCAACGAACTTTCAATTGGTTGCAACTTTTCACGCTTCTCTTCTTAATTTATTGCTATTGTATATTATTGTTATTAGTGCAAATGTAGAAAAGTAATCTTAGAGCGTTTCTCTCCAAAAACCGATAATAATCTTCAAAATATTCTCCCGAATTTGAAACGTTAAGCATGGCATATATATTAAAATATAAAAATACAAATATTATTGTTTTATCATTTTGGTGCCAAAATAGAATGAACAAGCATTTGTAAATTTACATCGTAATATTATAATTATGTATCAGAATGGTAGTCAATTTACTACGACAACAGATTAAAATAATTTAAAAATAGTATTTCATCGAAATTCTTAATATTTGAAATTCGTAATATGCAATAATAATTGTATTCAATTTCGTTAGAAATGATTTACAAAGTCGACGTTACTTTCCGTATTAATTTTACCATTTATAATATTAATTTTATGTACAAATAAAAAATAGTTATTTACTCTTTGCGGAAGACAATACCAACATTTTTCGTTTAATAATATTTTAAAATAATTCATTCTTAATTTAAGAAAATAAAATATTTCAAGGCATAATATGCAGTAAATAATTGTAAATGTAACTAGGAAGAGATTTAAGTAGTATTGAATGCCTAAATAAACAGTATTTCCAAAAATATTTAGGTACGTTTACTAGTATATATACTATAATAGTTATCTGATTCTTTGATAGCGAAATACGGATATTAGAATTATTGTATTTCTGCTTTTTCTAATAAATTTTTCTAAATCTTATTTATCATCAGCAAGATAAAATTATTAACAATAGTTCGAATTATTTTCTTTATATTTATCAGGGTTGAAACGTTTAATACGGTATAGTATAAAACACGTATTATAAGTACGTATAAAACGTATAAAACATATAGTATAGAACACAAAATTATATACGTTTTATACTGTATAAAAATTCATTTATAATATTTAAAGTTCAAATTAAACTTATTAAACTAACTATAAAATAAGGAAACATACATTATAAATAGACAATTGTGGTGCTATTATATATTAATAATTATCAGTATCTTATCGCAGACATATTTATAGTAAATCCATTGTACTTGGAACTTGTGATATTTATAACATTTTCAATATTTTTTTTTTTTGTCATTCGATTGAACACAAAAAATTAAAATAGGTTTCTACCTTCTGGTATAGTATATTATTTATATTTTATTATTAAATTTCATTAGTCTGTGTCTTGTTATCGTCGCGTTCGCACGTTATTGTGTTATACACAAACATAATTTTGAATATAATTCAATATAATTTTATTATTTTGTAAGTAATTTAAAAATTCAAATAAACAAATATGACTGTTCGTCCAACACATAGTGGATGGGATGTTAATTATATATGGCACAAAGAAGAAGCAAAAGGTAAAAAACGTTAATTAGTGTATCTAATAATTACTTAAAAAATAAAATAATATAAAATCTAATATATATATATATATATATATTATTAATTCATAGGTAAACAATTAGCAAAATATTTACTTTGTTCAAAAATATTGTCCAATACGAGTAAATCACGTTTATTGATTCACCGTAATACTTGCAATACTTCAAAATTATTCAAAATAGTTACAACAGGAATTAAAAAATCTACTCATTCTACTGCTACTAAAATTATCCGTAATGAAGAACCGCCAGTATTAAAAATAATGGGTAGAGCATCTTCTCCTATCTTACCAGTAGCGTCAAGTTCAACATCTGAAACTCAAACTCAAGGTAAACGTAAACATATAAATATATTTGAATCGGATTCAGAACCAGATGATCCATTTAATAATGCAAATTCATCTACTACTATGCCTAATTTAAGTTTAAATACATCCACTGTATGCTTATCGATTCCATTAGAAGCTGACAATGATGTTCAACTCGCAAGTTCTTCACGTGAAAAACAATTAAAAATGTCTAATTCTAATGATACTATGATACTTACTCCTGAGAGTTTTACCTCAAAAAATTCTGATACATTCGTTACACTAAAAAATAAAAATAAACAGCAGGATACTATTCAACGTTACCATGATAAAATAACAAATGCTGAAATTGATTTAGTTAACTTTAAATTGGGAAAATTGTTTTTTGGATGCAATATTCCATTTTCTGTAGTCGAATCGGTACATTTTAAAGATTTTTGCCAATCATTAAGACTCGCATATAATCCACCATCACGAACTACCCTATCAACTCGCGTTTAAATGAAATACACGATAGTTTTTGTGCAGCTATAAAGTTTCATTCAAATTCAGCTCTTCATAATTTATATATTATACATAATTTTTAACTACCTAATATGTTTTTGGTTTTTAGTTTTTACTAAGTATAAAATAGTAAGTATTTTTAATTTTTTAAGAGTGAATTTTAAAATCAAAACATATTATACGTTTTAGTCATTTTATACGTTTTATACGTGGGGTATTATACGTGTAACGTATTAAACGTTTTATACGCGTATATTATCAACCCTGATATTTATATCGAAAGTATTAATGTATAATATATTGAAATAATTTTTAAAATTGTTGTTATGCATATATGATTAACGATAAATGAATGGCTCTTAGAATATTGTTATGCTTGTGAGTGGTTTTTCCTCTTTTGATTTATATCTCTCTAAAAGTTGCCGGAACTTTAGGACTATTAACTTAAAAACATTGTAACACCAATTTAAATAATAAAACTTACATAAATGTATTTATTCAAGAAAAGTGATTACTTAAAACACATATTGTCATAGAGCATATGTATAACATTTCAGGGACATTTTCAATATTTACATTACATCTTTCCAAAAATCGCAGATATAGTATGTTTTTATAGCTAATTCAAGTTAAATTTACAATAGGAAATCATTCAATTTTATGAAAATTGACTTAATAAATAATATTCAAGTTTTTCATATCATACATATTTCACGTGTATATACCTACAATGTCCTACATAATACCTACACCAATGAGATATTTTTATTTCTAAAAATAAATCAAATTTTATTATATTACTCTCATAATAATAAATAAATACCTACAAAGAGCATAAAATTAATAATTTTCACTACGTAAATAAATGAAAGGGAGAGAATAATCGTTTGTTTTTGTGTGTATACGAATGAGGTATTTTGTGTTTGCCATTCACATCCACTTTACAACATTGTGTGCGCAGTCACGTCAAATGAAGACGTAAATCCCACTTGTAAAATCGTTCATCAAAATTAAATCTACCCCGCGTTTAATAATAATAAAAAAAAAACAATAGACTAAATGATAAAAAAAACCTAATAAAGAACGTGATGGATTATTTTTTTAAGCTTGAGTATGAATTAAAAAAATTATCTCTCATCTTACATGAACATTTTTTTTTAATTGAAAAGTACTCATTTTTATTAAATTTAATAACTGAAAAAGGTAATTACATATAAATTAAAGATTATATTGCTTAAGAATAGATTTCACCTTATTAAAAAAAAAGGTAAAAACGCACTAAATACTATAAGTTAGATCAGGGGTCGGCAATCTTTTGAACCACGTAGGCCATATTTTTTTTTACAAATGTTTATCAAGGGCCACATTAAAAAAAATATTTATACATGATATATACTAATATAATTGTATTGCTATTATATTTGATTATTTTACATAGAAATATGAGTGTATAAAATATGAATATTACTGGAAAAAATTGCTTTTAAGAAAAAATTTAATTTTTTGACAAATTAAACATAATGGCTTACCTTTATTTTCGACGAAAAAGTATAAATCAACCCAAGAATTATTAAAAAAACGATTTTCATCACAAATTTTTCTTTTTTTAGTCGCCATAATTTTTAGATTTACTTGTAAAATGAAATTATTACAAACGCAAACAGTCACACGTACGGGCGTACACTAATTGTCACAAACGCAAAGTAACTATACCCATAGATTAAATATATTAGATACATAGATTAAATATATTTAAAATTTTAATTTTTAAATATATATATATATATATAAGTATATAAGTATATTTAATTTATCCTATGACTGAGTAGTGCAGCCATCATTATTTTCAACTCCGATTAGATAATAACAATTTCATAGATTAAACTGACTATATAACTATATAGAATAAACATCAACTATTAACGATTAGATTAGATTTTATTTATAAAGAAAAAAGAATTGAATAGTATTGAAGATTGTATGAAAAATTTTATTGAACAAAAATTAACCACCTTTGTGCGGGCCAAAAAAAATTGCTTCGCTAGCCACGGCCTGCGTGCCGCGGGTTGCCGACCCTTGTGTTAGATAACTGGAAAAATAAATATCTTTGAGTGTTAATTATTTATGATAAAGTTCACTAGTTAACATATGAATTTTAATATAACTTAAGAGTTTATCAGTATGAAATGTGTCTATTTCACGTTTTGATACAAACTTATACATACACTGTATACTGAATATATAATTTTACTACCATAAACATGATAAAAGTGTATCTAAATAAAGAGTAAAATATATTTTTAGTCAGTAAAATTGTTGGGCTTTTACTAAAAATATTCTTCAATATGACACAAAATGATAATACAATAGTATTTTTCATTTGGATTCTTAAAATATACCCGATAATAAATAAATACTTTTCTGTAGTACCTTAGAGTATTTTGTTATAGATAAATTATATATTAAAAAGCAGTATTTCATAAAAAAAAAATTGCGGTTGAAAGGAATGCTTAAAAATAAATTATTTCCGCCATAGATTTAAATGATATTAACTAATTGACGGAAAATCGAACACCATAGAACACATTGAATTTTCATAGCTTTTCCTTATTCAGCATAATCATAAAAATACAATTAAGCATTGAGGACCTGTATTTGTTACTTCTAAAGTACTTTTTATAATAAGACAATGCTATTAATTAAGTTCTAAAGGTTCTCAGGTATAACTACAAAAGAAAAAAATTATCTTACTTAACTGTTCATACGTTGCTACGGAGTTTTTTGTTATTGCTCAAATATTAATATTCAAACTATATTGATTTATTTACAATACAATTTTTATTATAAATTGTATAAAAAAAACGCAAATCATATAAAAGTAAAATGGCATTCAGATAATAAATATTTTAATATTTGAAAACTATGTTTTATTCAATATAATACTTTAATCATTATATGAGTTGAAGTAAAAAAAAAGTTAGTTAATATTCGTTATTCCTTAAAACTAAACCATGATTATTCCTCTAATAAAATTTAAATGTTGCATCTGTTGATAATTGATCAATAAAGATGTCAGAATAAAAATGTTTCCATCATTTTTTATGTAGACGATGAATATCGGAATATACAAGATATATATCACATAGAACCGATATTTCTAAATTTAAAAGTGTTAAAAAAAATCATACTTCCAATGCCTAATTAACTAAACTATTCAATACTTACACTTCAATGTACAAATATCATACTATATTACATATTAAAATTAAATAAATCACATCGACTCCTACAAAGAAAAGGACGGTAACTCAAATTTTGGAATATTTCAGTAGGGAAATTTTTAAGGTTTAAGCATAAATTTTACTTTTTTTAAACTTTTTTGTGCAATAATTAATTTGTTCCCTTTCTGTTTGATTGAGTATAATATTACTAATAAAATAATTTTTTTATTTAATGCTCACAGTTATTTTATAATAAAAAAATCAAGTCTATTTTTTTTTTACAGAAGTAACTCAAGTTACTGATTTTTCACGGGAAAGACAATTTTTTATGAAGAATTCACTCCAGTTACTGCTTTCATTGTGATTTAATATTATAGATTGTTATTAAAATAATAATATTTATGAATCAAATAATTAAATTAACATAAAAATGTAATATCTTATTACTCTACTCAATGTAAATGTATTAAAATAATTATATAATAAAAAAAAAATATTTAGAAAATAAATTATTAAATATCTTTGATATTTAAAAATATTTAAAAACTAATTATTGATTTTTGATACAATAAATAATGTAATTATAACTGTAAACACCAAACAATATACAAAATAAATTTTTATTAACATTAACATATATTAATTTGATAACAATATTAATTTCTTGTTATCATTGAAACTTAAAAATATAATATAAATATTTTAAACCAAGTGAAAATTAAAGTATTTAAAAATACATTCAAGTTACTTAATTTTTTTTCAGATAATTTAAAGTTAAAAATAAAGTAACTAGAAATACTTATTTTTTCACTGGTAAACATTACAATGGGAGATCATTTTTAATATTTAATTTTTAATCTCCTAGGAGTTACTGTCATTTTCGTTGTAAATACAGATTCATTTTTGCTATCAAATTTTGTATGAGTCGATATGTTTTTCATTGGATTTCGCTACTAAACTTTCAACAAAGAAAAATCATTATAATAACAACGTTTTTTTTTTTTTTATAGTTGCTTCACTAAAACTTATACAAATACTATATATTAAAACGTTAAGATAATTTATTATTGTTGTCATTGTGAACTACCAAATTTGGAAATCTTTAACTAAAATTAAAAGCAAATATAATTTCTATTACAGCTAAACATTTTATAAATGTCCCACTTATAAGTAAATTCCACTTAATAATTAATATAATTATTTTAGTTGCTAAAACAATTAATTTATTAATTTAATTTTTGATAAAATTAAAAAAAAAACTGTATATTAATCTTAATAAATAAATACTAATATGTTTTACTTTGTTAGTATTAAATTGATCTAAAAAAAAAAAATTATAATAAAAATATAATATTGTATAATAATTTATTCATATTTGTTTGCATACAGCTTAGAATTAATTTACGATTTACGATTCCATTAATTCAAAAAGCTGTTTACTGAATAAAATAACCATTTTATTTCAGTCTGCTCTGCTTTTCCTCTGTTATTTATGGGTTTAGGGTTGTGACAGATTTTCCTTTGACTGGAATTTTTATAAAAAAATATTCAGAATCAATTATCCCTTCATTAATCATTCAACTTGCTGCTTCATAATTGTTTCTTATTTTTCGTCAAAAAATTTACATTTTTCCATTAATATTTTAATTTGCACGTTTTCAATTCGTAAAATATACTATCTATAATTTATGTCCTTAGACCTACAACGTGTATTAATTTTCCATACCAAAGAAATTTACGATTTAAATGACAATAACACAATATATTAAAGACAACGAGGTCTGTAAAATTGTATGCC